GCGCCTTGTCCTGTTTCTCTTTTTCTGTGTCCTTGTATTTTTTTGGCGCTTTTTGTTTTTAACAACTGCTAGCATGCATACAGGGAACGTTACATATTAGGGGTCAAGAGCTTGCATCAGCAAACGTGCGTGCGCACCACACATGCTTGCTCAGGTCCTTCGCGCCAGAAGCTCTGGAGACTTGTTTATTTTCGGTAAGCGGGGGAACCCACCTGATAGTTTATGCAGGCAACTGCTTTGAAGTTCTCATAAATGTCCGCATAATCGCCACCGGGGCCCGGGCTCTTTATACACGCGTGCGTGAACCCGGTTACTCGAAGGAGGCGGATGATTTCGGGAGCGCCGGGGAAGTGGACGAGTCCGAGCAGTCCGAGCAACAGATGCCTTACGGTGAGACGCGTCACTCTCCCGATTGCGCCGCACGCCGTCTGTTGTGAAGTGTTGACAGCTAGAAACATCTTGCCAGCAAAAGTCGCAGCGTGACGAGCAACTGTAGCTTGGGTATCAGCGGCAGCCGCCTGTTGTCGCCGTTCGGATCAGGCCGTCAAGTCGCGGCCGAGCAGCTCCCGCGCCGTTGCCGTTCGTCGTCGCATATCCCGGTGGGATGCATTCAATCACGGAGGAATGGCCGCTTCTCTCGGCGAAAAATACCCGTCACCGAGGGCAACACCGCAATTACAGGACACATATATTGAACGCGGCGATCCCATATGCGACATCACATCAGCAAGCCGCCATGTTGAAATGACTACGAAGTCGCGTTCAAGATAGGTCCAACCCAGTCTTGAAATTTGGGCACTTCAAGTTCGCTTCAAGCTCCGTTCAAGATCGGTTCAAGTTAAGGTGCGTTTGTGAAGCGCGCTTGCTCGTCGCAAGACGGACTTGAGCAAGTTGAAGCTCGACTTCAGAGCAAGTCACATCTATGAATTCGGGGGTAAGGCATACATTGCCAAGATTGCAGATGTCAAGCAGAACTAAAATCATTGCCCCGTAATAAGTAAAAATAATATTCAACTAATTAGGGAAGTTATTGAAGCTGAAAAGATTTCGAGGTTAGAAGAAAACTGTGTCACTAAACCTTGTCCAGATTTATTACAAAAAATAATTGAATTATCTTGCATCCACATGAAACCAAAAATAACAAAAAAAATCTTATTGTTTAAAAAGACAGGCGCAGGCAGAGAAGAAATAATACAAGTCTGAGTTGCAAGTCAGAGCTTCATGAATGTCTTTTCCTTTTGTGTGTGCCTGTGCTTGGTTGCGAATTTTTCGCGCTGTGGAAAAGTATGCAACACCAGCTTGCCCGAGCCTCCATATTTTTAATACTGCCAGTAGAAACTTTCACTTTGAAAATATGATGAGGACCGAATTTGAAAATTCAATGTCGCCAAACAATTTTTTGCGGACGTAAGGTTTTGGTTACGAGGTCAGTCATAGCTACTGGTGTATTTAGCCAATCTTGAGTCAAATTTGTGACCTTGAAAAAAATTACAGGTATACTGTTACATTCTCCTTAGCCTCCTGAAGATGTAAATCACTGGATTGAGCCCCTACCATACTGTTTTGTCTCATAACTGATGCAGGTATCTTCTTTTTTTCTTCAACTCAGTTCGACGTAGGAGCAGCCAGGGCGTCCTGTCCCTTTCACGTGAGCAGTGGCCAGCACTGGAAGAAGCAACCTTTGGACTGCTGTAATCCATTCTTTGGGCAAGTGAATAAATTTCTTTGAAGCAGAGACCTGGTGTTTGCACAGCAACTCTACAGAACCAACAACAAACACAAATGTTTCTGTGCCCAAAGCCTTCGTAGCTGCTTGAACTTATTGATCTGAGCTTGCACGTTGCAATGTTAAGGCAAGATGCAGATATAGTTAACGTCTCTCTAAAAAAATTGGGGGCACCTTATGCTTGGATGTCTAGCTTGATCAACTTGGAACGTCCAGCCGAATTGAAACAAGGATCTAGCCGAACTGAAGCATGCAGCCGAATTGAAACTTGTAGCCAAACTGAAGATTTAGCGAAACTGAAGCGTCCAGCCGAATTGAAACTTCTAGCCGAATTGGAGATGTAGCCGAACTGGAACGTTCAGCCGAATTGAAACTTCTAGCCGAATTGAGGCAATAGCCGAATTGAGGCTTCAGCCGGATTGGGACGTAACCCTTTTCCTCAACCTCGAAATACCTCTAAACACTTTGAGAAGTGATTCCGCAACACTTTTTGGCAAGTGAAGTTTCTTCCAGCGAGGAACAGAAAGGAAAACATAAAAGATGCAAGATAAATGAAACATAATTCACCCCCATGAGGCACGCCCGAACACTTAAACAAACCTGTCGAATTTCTTGATGAAAGACACTTTGTCATCCGCCAAGGCCACGGACGGGGCACTAACACACGTGTCTGCTCCGTAGGTAGAAATAAAAAAAACGCCTCATAAATTTCTCAAGTCACTTTGTTGTGTTGACGAGCCAGAATTTTAATCTCTGCGAAAACCGGAGAACACGAATGCGAACGCTGGTTGAGACACGAATGAGAACACGAGCGAATGCTGGTTGAGAGGGCTTCCATTTGTGCGCCAGGGAACTCAGTCAGAGGTGGAGACGAGAGCGCGCGGAACGCGCAGTTCTGGTTGGCAGGATTAGTGGGTAGACCCAAAGCTAGATGCCTTTGTCTCCACTGCCCTCGTCGAACGTACTATAGTACGCGGAACGCCAGCGTCCACCGTTTGGCTCTCGCATTCGAATGCTTTCGACGAGTGCAGTGCAGACAAAGACATCTAGCTTTAGGTCTACCCATTAATCATTCCACTCAGAGCTCGGCGTACTGATTTTCCGACGCTCTTGTTTCCTTTTCTCCTTTAGGACCCCTTTATGGAGAAACTAGAGAAAATGGCGATGAGCCTCCTTTTAGCGAATTCGGCCACCGCAAAGTACGGGTGGGCCAGGTGGGTTAACGTTTTTGTAATGAGGAACCGCAGACTGTGGCTGCGAAGCGGCGTGAACCAAAAAAGGTGAGGGGGGAGGGGGGTGGGGCTTGGGTTACACGCGGACTTGAGATACACTTGTGGAGTAGGTTATACTGTTTTAGTAATTGCTTCCCCTTTTCGATAAACGGCGTTTCTCTAAAGTGAGGTTCCGCTTTTTGTAAACAGATCTTCGATAAAACGTGCCCAATACTAAAACGTGTTTGAATAAAATGGTGCTCCATCCACCGTAGTGAACCCCATAAAGATAAAGAAAGAGCGCAGCAAATTAGCTCCGTGTACCTGGGTATTCTAATCCCCACTGTGCAGTCTGACCAAACAAGCTCACAAACTGCTTACTTCTTACTTCAAATTCCTACTCTATATAATCTCACAAGAATACGAATTCCACGAGAAACATACGATGTAATAAAACAATGTTGGATTTCCGCTCACATGTTACAACCAAGTTCAGGTGAGCGCCGATTGCAGATGACCGAGTGAACCCAGGACCACGAATGCAGATAAGCGCCATCACAACATTGCTTGCGAGGTTGTTTCATTCCGACCACCTGTCAACGGCGCGCCTATTTCTTTTATAGTCTTTTTAGGGCGCCGTCTCGAAAGTTGGCGACGGGGAGGAGGCGAAAGCCCCGCGTTGGCGCTGCGCTTCTTCGGCAACGGTTTCTTTCTCGCCACAGTGGATATGAATCACGCGAAAGGCCTGGTGTTTTCCAATGCTAGAACTTTCTTCGTCTTTCTCTGGGCCTCACGGTGGCTCCGCGGGGTCGGACTCCGCCCCGTGTAACTCTTTTTTTTTTTTTTTGGGGGGGGGGGGGGGGGCGGGGGGCGGGGGCGGGGAAGGGTGTGGTAGCACGCGTCCCAGTGACACATGACACACGCACTAAGCACGGAAGCCTTTTTTAAGCAGCGTTATTTTTCAATAAACGTGTTTCACAAATTTGAAGCTCCGCTTTCTATAAGCCGAGCTTCGATAAAAGGTGCCCGTTCTCTAAAACGTGTTTCCATGAAATGGCGTCCGACCAACCGTAGTTGCGTTCGATCCCCTGCCGCGTGTTGGTCGCTTGGGGAATCGGGAGTCTCGTAAAAAATTTCTATGTTTTTTCCCGCCGGCGTAAGCTCGGCGGCATGAGGTTAAGTGAAGCTCGGTTTAGCGAAGCCGCGCAAAGCGGCGTGTACGAGTGAGGCAGGTAGGTTGACATTTGTGTGATGAGCCGCCGCAGACTTTTGCCGCGAAGCGCCGTAAACGGGAAGGGAGGGGGGGGGGGGGGATAACAAGCTGTGATACACGCGCGAAGTAGGGGATCCTTTCTTTTATATCAGCGTCCCCTTTTCGATAAAAAAGCATTTTTCTAAACTGGGTCTCCGCTTTCTCTAAATCAAGCTTCGATAAAGCGAGTCCGTTTTCTGAAACGTGTTCCGACGAAATGGCGTCGGATCCACCGTGGTATGTGCCGATTTTGATGGTGCGTTGTTGTTTCCGCTTCGGCTCGATGCGACATCTTGGCGACAGGCGGTGGCGGCTTTTTGCACGCTCGTGAGCGGCTCAGGCGGGTTTTGTGACAGTCATTAACAGCGGTAATTTACCTTCGTCTTTGTAAAATATGGTTACATAAATATTTGCATAAGTGGAAACACCTTGCCACACAGCGGAAACTAAAGCTGCACGTGCACATTCGAGTTTTAACGCGTTTGAGTGCGTTGCGGAGTCCTTGCGGCCAGGAGCGGTTGCTTGCGGTGCGACGCGCGCCTTCCCGCAACGCTCGGCAGCGCGACGCAAGCGAGTAGAGACTCGCTCAACTTTTTGAACCGTTGCGGTGCGTTCGACCAATCAGAAGCCGAGAGAGGGGAGGAGGGTGACGTGTCCGCTCGCGCCACTCGGCCGACTCGGCGAGACGTATCTGGTTCTCCGCTAGCAGTGCTCGCTTTTTCGTTTTGGGGTGCGATGGGGACTGGTCTTCCATGGCTGGCGATGTTCAAGTTCGACAAAATGTTGGGGAAGCCAGCCGGATTGTCCCAAGATCGAACATTTCGGCGCTGTCGCTGGGCGGCGCCATGTTGCCGTGGATACCGCTTACCATTGGTGAGGCGACGATAGCGCGTTCTTATTCGCTCTTGACTGCAGTTGAATGCGTGTCAGCCTGACCGTGTGTACAAGCATGGCGCAAGCGCTCTTCGCAACGCAACGCGTCCGCTTGCCGCTACGGAACGCACCGCGCTCAAACGCAGATGTGCGTATGGACCGTGAGCCTTTCAAAATTTCTGGCGCACAGCGCGCTGCGCGAATGGGCGCCCGGACTGTTTGGCGAACAGGTTCCTGGACGGTTCTTTTGTTTTGCTCAAGTTCAGGTTCCGCTCCAAAATGGCGCCGAACATTTCTTTTCGTGTTCTGTTGCGATCCGTGCAAAACAAGCGGTTCAGTTCCGGTTACGGTTCGACACCCTGCTGTTGACCCAGAAAACACAACTTTCTGCGCGCCAGCACGCAAGCTACACAAGCAAGCGAGCAAACCTGATAAAAAATATATATATTTATCAAAATAAAGAAAAACTGTTTTTGCCGCGCGGCGGCGTAACGTGCATGGCCACTTATTAGAGCGGCTAGATTGCAAAGAGGGTCCATCTCAGACCATGGAGAGCGTTGAAATTTTAATGGCGGACTCCTCCTGTGGAGATTAGTCGCAAATGCGCATGCAGTGCGTTTTTGCGTGGCGAGAAGGAAAGCAAGTGGAAAAGCGGAGATCTTAGCAGACGATCAACTCTAATAATTACTTCAATTTTTTCAAAAGTGTATGCAAAACACAATTAATAAAGACAAAGCGTGCATGTATATATTGCGGATTCAATTAACCGAACCCGAGATTAAGTCCGGTAGTGCTGGCATTGAATTGAATGGCGCTTGAAGTAAATTGAATGGCACTCGGATTGAATTGACCACCATTGAACTAAAATGAGCGGGAAAACCTTTAGATGAAGATGAAGTGGGGCAGGCGCCACAACCTAAGAGGTAAGCGTTAAACTTGTTAGTAAGGAGGGAATTTGAATATGAGATACCATCAATTACCAGTTCATTTGGAAGTACACTGTGGGGCTGGGGGATAAGATACCGCATACACTCTAACAAATGCCTGCGCGTCTACTTACAGGCAAAACACTCACTGAGCCAATCTCTGCGATCTACGAAATCAGCTGAGCGAATGATGAGGGGGAACATCCGTTTCGACCTAAAAATGAAGTCTGCGCTGTGGCATTATGCAATGCAAAGCGTCATGCTTGCATTGCGCAGATTTCGTAGGTCGCAGAGATTGGCTCTTCAAGTGTTTTGCGGGTAAGCAGACGCGTAGGAATTTCTGAGAGTGTACAGCGTTCCATACTTTTTCAGGATCGTTATAAACGGGCGCGAATTTTTCGCCGGAATACTGCTTGCGTGATTTCTTTACGTTTGCGTTTAACTTATTCCTTATCTTTTTAAATTCGCGTTCCACCAACTCATCTTTTGTTCTGATAAAACTATCATGGAGCATATTTCGCCGATTTATTCTTCTATAGCCCGACACGCGGCCCAGCTCTGTTTACCAAGACGGCCGGAAGGCCGCGCATGCGCAGTGGCTATGTGGGCAGAAGCGGCCAGGCTCTCCGTGTTTTCGCCATTGCTTTGAGTGGCGTGCGCTCGTTGTTGACGTTGTAGAGACGCTTCCACACTCTCAGAAGAAAAGGGTGTATTGTTACACCCTTTGTCTCATATAATACACCCCAAAACTTCAATGCGACGTACAGCGCTTTATAGTCAAAAAGACGGCCCCAAGTTTTACGAGGGTCTTGATAGCCGTGTGGTACTACTTATTAAAATAGCTAGTCTACGTGTTACTGAGTATGAAAAAAATAATCGGGGTTTTCTTGGCACTACTGCAAAAGCTCAGTGTTTTCTTTGTGTGGTCTTCGATACGTACTTTAGTTCGTTTAACAAGTTATATCGCACCGTTATCAAGCCAATCGTAAAATTTTTGGCCGTCTGTTTCACTGCAGTGCGCTGTACGTCGAACTGAAGTTTTGAGGTGTGTTATATGGGACAAAAGGGTGTAAGGTGATACCCTTTTTTTTATAGATTTATTTGTGCGTAGTATTTCCTGTCAACGTATGTCGTATGCTGTGCCCGACTATTTGACCTCGCTACCCGAGTTTGAACGGAAGCGGGATCGAGACAAACTGTGCGTGGACGGTGTTCCCGCGTACACGATCCGTACGCCGTAAACAAGGACTGCTGGAGTTCCGATATGAGGTTGCTGCCACCGACGTCGATGGCTCACGTTGTCGTTTATTTAGTGCTTTCGCTGAAGCAGTTCACGGCCGACACGGTGCAGGTGTGCAGTCTTCTGGAGGCCTACAATTTGCTTCGAGCCGCTTTCCGCATAGCCGGCGGGATTAGCACAGTGGATCAGCACACTATTGGCCTACGAAAGTGTATTTGTTAATTGATTAATTACACACAGCGTTCATCAAGTCAAGGCATGATATTTTTATTTACTCTCATGACCACAAGGCACGACAAGCGGTAACGCTTTTTCTGAACTGCCGCCGGTTTCCTTCGGCTTGGTAGCACGGGCGTAGAGAGTAGTCTTGTAGGCGCTACCGAAAAAAAAGTTACGGAATACGTTACTCGTTACTTGCCAATAAAAGGAACGTGTTACTGACCTACGTTACCTCAAAATAAAAAGAACGCGTTACCGTTACCGATAAATGTAACGCACGCTACGTTTGCGTTACTTTTTATTTATAAATTGACGGTATAAGTGTTTTTTTTCTTTTGGCGACATCGTTTTTTTTATATTGGGACGAAGAGCGTGGTCGTTGGGGTTTTTCTGAAGTGGAACTTTTGGCATTGAGAAAAAACGAGCAGACTTTTGAAGGTAGGTAAAATGTAGTGCAATAATTGATGACTTGTCGCCTATACTTCGTTTCAGCTTAAATCCAGGCACAGCCAACGCGACGACCTCATGGGACTAATCAAGTAGCCTCACAAGTGCAAGTCACTGTGCCTTTTCTGTTCATGATTGGTTCAGCGATGGTAGGACACGCACAGAAACATGACGAACACCACGATGATGAGCTTTTGACGATGCCTGGTTGTACGCACCAGCTCGTAGCGTCGGCTACATTTGGGCTGAAAATAAGATAAACTATGAAAGCACGAAAGAAAATTACTTTTTTTTCAGGTCTTGGGAAGAATATATAACGAGTAACGTAATTACGTTACGCGTTATACGAAATACGTAACGTGGTTACGTTTCCTGTTATTGTCTTGAAAAAGTAACGAGCACGTCATTACGTTACCGAAAGAAGTAACGCTTTACCGGTAACGCCGGTACTTGTAACGCGTTGCCGCCAACACTGGTAGCGAGCCACCGACGCTCGCTTGGCCGGTGCCCTGCGCGCGAGCACCGTAGGAACAAAATCCATCTGGTCTCGATCAGAGAACGGTTTTACTGCACATAAGCAAGCCTCGGGATGGAGATTGAAATGGAAGCCGCACTTCCCTTCAAGAAAGTGCTTGCGGCACAAACTGTCGTCCTCGCGAGGCGGCCATTTTTTTCGATCCTAGGATATTATCCACCTTCTGCGCCTTTCAGAGCCCACCGGGAGCTTGTGGCAACTTACTCCGCTATTTTTGCTGTACCTTTAGGTGCAATTAACGGCTACACAGTCTTGCGGCAGGCTGAAATGCTATGACGCCCATGCAAAACGCAAGCCCTTCTGCCCTCACCACCCGGCTCCGGCGCGAACGCAGCGCCGCCGCTGCTCCGTGACGTCAAGCCCGCGTGTCGACCGTGGGTAATCCATAGTTTTCTCATTTTTTTATGTTGCTAAACATTTCGCAAGGGAAACGCTTCGTCATAGGATTATTTAATCGTAGTTATGAAAGTTCCGTAGCATATACCGGCATTACATTCGCTGTGTGTATACCATCCCAATTAATGTTTCAAACGAGGTAGTAGAACTTCGGTATATTGGCAGAATTGATACTCCTACAAACTGTGACAGCCACGGAGTGTTTTGTATCTATTCGTATTCGACGAGCAGGAAAAATGCTAAATATAGGTAAATGATCATTGACTGGACAGGCGGACATTCTAGAGATTGTTTCGCTCGGTAGGTTGCTTGTAATAAATAAATGAATTATGGTTGCATTATCCCGACTTATTCTTGTTGGTGCGGTAATAACGTTATTGCACCCGAACGATTCAATAGTATCAAGGAACTGTCCGCAGAGCGGATCCGAGCCCGATAGATCGATATTAAAGTCCCCTATTAGGCTATTAGTATGATTCGTAAATTCAATGAGGCCATATGGTCCAAACGTTTAACTACGTAATTAATAAATTTAGACATTGCGCCAGAAGGTGGCCATATAGAGCAGCCACTACGGTTCCGTCACATACGGCAACAATCGAGTCATAGTCCCTACTTACCCTACTCGGGCATAACACTGTACCCTATGCTAAAAGTCCCATGTGTAAAAGGAGAATTGCTTCATGGCTCCGGTCATCGGTCCAGCCGCGGCAGTGAACAATCTTTGTCCGGTAGCAAAACAAAATAGCCTCAAGCACGCTTTTTTTCCTTAAGCTTTCGAAGGTTACTAACAATATGTACTGGCCTATCGGTGCGCTCCGTCAACTTCGGCCCCAACTTTGTGTTTGACAAGTTTAGAAGCCCAGGTGTCTAAAAAAAAAAAGATTACGGTTTGTCTGTATTTTTTTTACACAAAAACAAACAACGCATCGCCGAACACAATCCCCGCCCAAATGCTGCGCTACAGGTTGCGATTAGATGTCACACATTCCAAACATACCGTTACCCGATTCAAATGCTACAAGCGCTGTGACGCGTGCCATCCTCGGCGCCTCATTGGCTCGAACTAACCCTCATCATCCCGCGTTAGGCGCACACCCAATCACTCCGAGTGAACCAGCTAGCTAGTCAACAGATAACGTCCGTTAGTCAGTCGACAACAATGCCTTATGCGCAGTTTTTCTCGTCTGTAAAGATAATATGCTCCTTTCCCCTATCTGCGTCAACTTTTGAAGACAGTTCGAGGGGCGTATTACGGGCTGATAATGCAACAAAATAGAGGACGGCGACGCATCCGCCTCGAACGCAATAGCTCTCTGTTGTCGTGATTCTCGATCAAAGGTTTCAGGTTGCGAGACATCTTGTAATTATTCAATGAGGCCAACCAAAGCGAAGTAAAGGTAAAAACCTAGGCCCCGCTGGTTAATAACTTCTATTACAAACCCGAGTCAAGAGACGTGTCCATTTGTTTTTATTGTTCCTTGTCTCAGGTTTGTAATGGAAGCCAATCAGAGAGCACTAAAAGTGCAACGGAATGGCATATATGGCATCTTGTTGTGCGGTTGCTTTCATCGGTCAATCTAAACCCAGTTAATGCGCCGTTACCTTCCGCTTTTAGTAATACATGTGGACGTGTTGGTACGCCTTCTATGGTTACCAACAGAATGAGAATGACAGGGGGTTCTTTCGAACGCTGCAACACGCGATCCTTACCTTCAATCGTGCTTCTGCCTCGCGCGTGCGCTGTATGTGCAGTAACCCCAAAGCGCCGTCGAAGGTAGGAGGCTAGCGCTGGAACCGGAACAGCTGAAGCTCTTCCCTGCCGTTGTCAGATTGTCGGTGACCATAGCCTTTGACTGCGCTCTGACTTCTAGCCAAGGTATAACCGATAAGCCAAACAGCCAGTGAATGCAGTCGGGAGAAACGACAGGTATTCCAAACTTTTGCCGCAATTTAATTACAGCAATTATATTGATGTAACTCAATTACTTCTTAAGTAATATTAGTGACTGGATCAGTTGCGTTTGGCTAAAAGTGATTATTTTTGGACTTTGATACATATTTAGCATCAATGCTTTTAAAGTTTTCATTACTCTGGCATCTGCTATATTTTTTTCTTTTTTTAGTCTTGGAATGGTGGAATGTTTATTGTGCCTCCGTACAGAGCCGCTGATAGGACGAAAAAGCGCAGAGCTTTCGTTTTTGTTTATATAATTAATTCATGGGAAAATTACTGCGCTTTCTGGTTGTTCATTAGCCAACGAATCGAGAGAAAAAAATAGCAGTTCTTGCATCGCGTTCAAGGCACACGTTAACCTGCAGAACACTTTGTATCGGTATTTGCGTGTTCAACGCGTCTTTTTAGAACATATACTTTCACGGCTTCGTCTTTACAGCGCCAGGCGCTGTGACTATCAGATTCGCTTGAGAATTCTTGCGAGCGAACCTCTCGCTAGAGCTTTCTGCACTAGCCGTTAGGGGCCGTCGATTTCGCTGCAGTCGCCAATACACCAACACGCCGTACGTGCTTTTCGTACGCTATGCGTGCGCAGAAAGCAGACTCGCGCGAGATGAAGAGTTTGCGCATGCGCAATAGGCTTTATAATGCGCAGAGCGGACAGCAGCGCACCGCAGGGCCGTAACATCAGAGAGTTTTGTTTGGGCATTCATGGCTTGCACGTGACGTGATCGCCAATGACGGTGGTCATTTCTAATTGTTCTTGCTGAGAATAACAATTTTGATGGCGCGAAGTGCGTGCTGTAGAAGTGTAAGCCATCTATACCCGGCGGTAACCACATCAGAAAACTGAAAATTGTGCGGTTTGTTCCTACCCTTGAAGTGAAAGAATAAGCGCTGTTCTTCACAAAGGACAGTTTCTGAGGAGTGTTTTGACTTTGTAGGACGGTCCTCTCACGTGGGTTTCTCGTTTCGTTAAACACGTTTAATCGAAACACGCTTCGTGAAGAACGTTTCGGAGGCGGAAATTTCTTCGACGCTGCAAATTTTCGTGAACGCATACTCCTGTGACGTTTCGTCGACGACGTATTTTTTGTTACTACCGTAATTTCTGGAGAGATGCGCCACTCCCGAAATATAGCCCACGCCCTATTATTTGCATGATTTGCTATTTCTCCCGAAACACCGAAAAATAGCCCAGTTCTACTAATTGCAGGGCCCTGGCCAATAATAACCTCGGTGAAAACGTTGTTACTTAACTGCAGCGGGAGCTAGGTTAACATTTCTGACTGGGAACGACAGTCGTCTTTGGTTTACTGCCCCCTCCTGCGATTAAAGGTTTCGAGGAGAGCAAAATTTAAAACTACAACATTATTTCACCCTTTTTTTTTTTTTTCTATGACACACCAAAAGTTTGCCCACCACTTGTTTTCATCCGATTTGCTATCGACTTTAAATGGGCTATCTCTCTGGATATTAAGCTCGGGGAAAGTTCAGTATTACCGCAGGTCCGAGTTTTCACAAGGTTTCACTGGAATCATCGAGGATTCGGCAAGATAGGCTACGATTCGGAAGCCGGAGACCGAGGTTATCTATACGCAGAAAGACGCTTTCGGCGAACCCTCGAGACATGTTCCCATGAAACGAACGCGATAACCTTTCGATGAAACGATAGGTCGCTGAAACGTCGCAGTGTCGACGAAATGGTCTGTGGATGCAACAGCGTTCATCAAACTGATCGTCCACCGCCCTCACAATGGTGATGCAAGAAATTTCTTTAGAGCATGCATTTGTATAATAAACCTGCTTCAAACGTGTTTGGGGCGCGTTGGGAAATAATTCTGCTATTTTGTCGGAATCGCTGACTGCCGCGATTGGTCAGCGCCAAGGTGAAGCGCGGCGCTGGCCAAACTCTGGGGCCTGGGGCTCTAAGCTCGTCAAACACAAAGTTGGGGCCGAATTTCACGGCGCGCACCGATTGGACTATCGCGACGATGACTTCGCGCTTTTGTCGCCAGCGTCCGATCGGCGCGCTCGGCGAACTTTCGGCTCCAACTTTGTGTTTGACAAGTTTAGGGCCCCTAGTTGACTTTCTCGCCGAGTGTAGAACGTAGAGCCGCTTGAGGAAGTGGGCGAGAAGGAATGCCGCTCTTCTTAAAGGGAAGCTACGGAGCTTCTTGAAAAAAATGAGTTAGAAGTGAATTCTAGTGTATTTTTACCTCGTGAACCCGAATACCAAAACCATTTGCCGCGCAAGTATTTTTAAACGCGAGAAAAACGCGAAAGATGGTCGCTGTCCGTGACGTCATCGACGGACCTTTTGGCTTGCCAAGGCTAGGGAGGCGGGGCTTCAGCCCTATTTTCAAACTGCTCTTATGGCTCTCTGGCGCGTCGTATTGAAATATAATTGTGATATCTGTTATTCTAAAGGCCAAATGAACGCAATTCAAGCGTTTTTTCTCAAATGTAGAAGTGCCCCATCTTCCCTTTAAGGTAAACTCGTGAAATCTGCGCGATAAAAAAAAGGTGTTTCTTCGTGAGGCGTTTAAGTTGTAGCCCTCCCTATACGTCTCTCATCGCCCAACACGTCATGCGGGGGCAGCTCGGTTATCTTATCCGGGCAGCGTCACAGCTTCCATATAAAACGGTCCCTTACCGAGTAGCGGCCGAGAGCGGTATCAGTTGCACACACGCGCTCCCATCTGCCAGTTTCGTCGCTGCTTCCCTGCACGGTAAGTCGCCAAGGCAAGCTTTTCTCCATGGACCCCGAGCATCGAAGAGGATACCATAAAACGTGCTTTTCTTTTTCTCGATTTCGCTAAACACTTCGTAAGCCGTAGTCACACTGCTTTTACATCATACAGGTCACGGTGTTCTCCGTAGACGCGAGAGAATTACCTGCGCCTACGCCTCACGCATCTTCGAACCATGCATGTTTCCTTCAGACATGTATATGCTTCGACCATGTCCGCGGACAGTGTTTGTATGGCCAATATGTGACGAGAGGAAAACACGCCTCAGAGGGGGTCGGCAGACTTTCTTTTGTATGATGCATTTGCCACGTGAGCGCGGTTTAGACGTCTACTAAGCTCGCGGGGAGAAAACCTGTCCCGCCGCCAATCTACTCAAACGGAGCGTAAAACAATTGTTTATTACAAAGCCACCCATGAACAGGTTGGTGATACGAAGCTCCTACAACTCAGGAAGGAAATAACGTTTTGTAGCATTGGACACCTTAAGAAACGCCTCGCTTGGTTTCTTACGTTCACGCTTCCATAGTTACTGACAGTTTCAAAAACGGAGGGAGCGGCGCCTGCGTCCTGAGTATCACATTATTGCCCCTCGGCCAAAGAGAACGCGGCATTAGCCGATAAGAACTCCGGAGAACGAACCAGGTAGCAGACAAGTTTTAACGTGATAAGTGACGCCCTGCGTTTCTCCAGCTCTCGGTGACCAAACATTTGTGATTAGGTCTTCCGGGTTCTGATACCAATGCCGTAATCTCATTGGCTGCGATGTGATGATAACGTGTTAGGAAGTCGCCACGGCACGCGTTTCTTTAGTTGTGGGCGGATATGCGGAGGGTGCTTCTTGAGCACGGGTTGCAATGACATCAGAACGCCTGGTTCTGATTGGCTGAATTGGAAGGATAGTGTGTACACCTCAATCCTAGCTTTCTCGAGGTCCACCCAGTATCCTTCCAATCCAGCCAATCAGATCTCGCCGTTCTGACGTCATCGCCACCTCCGCGAAAGAGGTAGACGAAGTGCCGCCCCTCATAGATGCTCCTCAGCCGGTTTTGATTGCCGTATGCGTGTTTGAATTAGCGTACCGTATACAACACGTGCTTCAACGGCGTTTTTATTTCTTCTTAGGTCCGAGATGAAGGCAGCTACCTTATCGTTGCCCTTGGTGGCGGCTCTGTGTTTCCCGCTTATCGGCGGCGTGCGTATTGACACGACGGACGGAGGATACCGCGACGTTGTCGTAGCCATACACCCATCCGTGACACCGGACGAGAACATCATCGTCAACATCAAGGTGAACCCACAGACTCCACACCGTACACAATAAGGGGAGGAACACAGAGAGAGGAGAGTATGAGAGGTGCGCGGGGTGGTCAGAGTACCGAGCTTTGATTAGAAGGAGAGTGGGTAGGCCAAGACGAGCTGCCCTCGTTTTTAATCGCGGTTTGAGCGCGTTCGAACGCCGAACGCCTACGTCCGGTGTTCAAACGCGAGTCACTGCGCGAGGAGCAGACGATGCTCTTCTTTGCTCTGACTGGAGGGAGACAGTGGATGGAGGCAAAGGGCGTCTAGCCTTTCCGTCTACCCTCTAATCCTTCCAATCGGTGCTTGGAGCTGTGACGTCCCCCTTGCGCTTTCATCTCCTCCACTGCCTCAGTTTCTCCCCGTATAGACCAGTGTCCGCGCCAATTCCGGGGCGCCGCCATGTTTATCTACGCTCGCGCCACCACGCGGAAAGAACTGGCAGGCAGGGAGGGGGGGCTGCGTTGGCGGCGTTGCTTTGGGTAGCTGGATGCGGCAGGCTGTCCGAATGCACCGACACATCGTGAAAGATGTCTTCACCAGAAGCCTCTGCGGCCCGTTCTTCAACAGGCAAGATGTCGTGAACATTCGAGAACCCATCTCGATCAAGGAAAATAAGGGAAAACCTTTCTTGTCAAATAAAGATTATTATTATTATTATTATTATTATGTTCTCGGTGTCTGCTGACCCTTGACATCCGCGTTTCAGTCCGGGTTCATTGCGTAGTAAATATTTCGCTACTGCTTTCTTGTAGCTTTCAAATGCTTGATTGTTGGCTTCTTGTATACGACATTACATTCGTGGCATGTTTGAGACCGATTTTCGCGATCTGCTTGCCTTTCTGCGGCAGCGCGGCTCTGCCAAGCCGAAATAAGTGCGAGGCGTTCACTTGATCGAACGCAGTTTTAGCGAATGAAAACGAGACGACGACGTTTCATCGAATGACTAGCGAATGGGTCTAGTTACATAGACAGCTCGGATTAGCTTTCTTTTGTAATGTGGCGCCTTGTCTGCCGCTGCGAAGCGGCGTAAACGAGGGCTCCGAGTGTGTTAGCACGCGTCCCCCCCCCCCCCCCCACACACACACACACACAAACACACACTGCGAGCGTCTGGGTTCGAAACTATTAATTGCCAGTTCTAAAGGATGGTACTTACTTGAAGTGGGAGCTGGAATTATACGAGGTACCAGGAGACACTTACTATCGGGTAACGAAGCACGGTGCCTGTGGGGGCGGAGTCTAGGAACGCTACTGATTAATATTGTGACAGGCGATCAGTTATGATAGCAGACGAAACTGCGACTCGTTTGTTCAGAAGTTCGCGGTGATATTTTATTAGCCCTCGTTACAGCACACCAAGGATCTTAGGCAGTGAAATTCACATCACGCAGGCTCGTCCGTCGTAGTCAAATGAGCGCAGTCGACGATGAGGTGTAATGAGCTACAAAGCTTCACAAGGATAATGCGCGTGAGAAAGAGTTTTGAGGAAGTCCAAAACACCGATCCAGCAGACGCACGTACGTACGTTTACTCCGGACTTCATGAACCCGACGGCGCAAGATCAAAGAGCACCGCCGCCATCGCCACCCGGTTTTCTCTGCACTTTGCGCGACGACGGCACTGCAACGGAGGGCACTCGCCTCGGCGTTAACAATCCGCGAAATAGATTAATTTACCACTCTTGAAGCCATTCCAAATGATAAATGAAAATACCTCGGCGTTGTTGAACATCTGACGACACAACCAACACAACTGTGCCGCTGGCTGCGTGAGCCTGACACAAATGTGCCGAGCGCCTGCTCGGCACGGTTGTTGCTCGTGAAGGCCTGCTTATTTGTAGTTGAGACGATGATTCCACATCTTTCGTGGTGCTTGCAATAACTTCGAAGGGCAGGGGAACCTTCTCACGAGGACGTTGAAGACACTCAACACCGGAGCCACCAAAGCAATCGCACAAACCGTCGCCATGTTTGCTTCTTCTTCGTCACTCGCGGCGCGGTCAACTCGTCGCGAGATGTTTTCTGGCTCGGCTAGACGAAAACCAACAACGGCAAAGTGGCGTATGGACACACGGCTCTCACATTACGGGCACTATACTCACATACCGCGGTAAACAGGACCGATGCCCGCGAAACGGCAGTCGGCACACCAGCGAAGAAGCCTTCAACGGGAGCCGGCGGCGCAGGCCGACGCAGCCCCCCCTCCCCGTGAGCGTCTGGGTTCGAGATTATTGTTCGCTTTTGCTCCTTGCGGTCGAGGCTAAAAAGAGCACTTCCGGACAAAGGTCTATACAATCACGGTTCCTGCATCTGGTTGATCCCTTTCCTTTTCACATGTTGATACCCTTCCATCCCAAGTTTTCGCTCTGCCACTTGCCTTGTAGTATTCCTTACTATTTGATATATATATATATATATATATATATAAGGGATATTCTGGCGTTTACTGGCGGTTGAGAAATTCGGGAAACGGAAAGAAATAGAATTGGTTTACCTATTCTTCACTTCATTTAGCCCAAACAAGCGCCGCAGTAACGCATAATATTATTTTAGAGCGCAGCTCTTAGATGCCCGTTTCCAGCTTGAGCGGCGTCGCCGTCGGCGTCAGCGTAACCGCGCGCTGCATTATGGGAGGTTCTCATAATGGCGTCATGAGGGTTACCCTTGTGAGGGTTACGAGGGTTGCCAGGGTTACTCTCACGACGGTTACGAGGGTTACCCTCACGAGGGTTTCTAGGGTTATCCTCACGAGGGTCACGAGGATTACCCTCACGAGGTTCACAGAGCTGCCCTCGCGAGGGTCACGAGGGTTACCCTCACGAGGTCCACAAGGGGTACCCTCGCGAGGTTTTTGAGGGTTGCTCTCAATAGAGTAACGAAAGTTACCCTCCTGACGTCACACGTGACGTCACGTGTGACGTCACGAGGGTAAAAGCTTTTCCACTATATTTAGCGGAAAATTTTCTCCTCTAAATTTAGCGGGGAAGAAAGGGGGAATACCCTCCCCTCCGTGCCATCCCTTCCTCCTCCTCAAGAGCTGCGCTCTAATTGGGCGTTACAGAAAATTGTAAACTTTGTACACCCTTGAGCGTTATGAAGGTAAACAGCCCCCTTCTTGTTTTGGACGCTCCTGCAAATTTTGGAACAAGCTCTGTTCCAGAAGAGGGCTAGAACGCAAAGTTTAGAGCCCAAGCAAAATACCATTTGAGACGTTGAGAGCTCATATAGCTTTAGGGAGCCGTAAAACAGGCAAGAAACCAGGTAAGGTGTTCACCTTCATATTGCCGGCGGGCAGGCTCGTAGCCAGGATTTTGTTTCGGGGGGGGGGGGGGGGGGGGGCCGCCCATGACAAAATGCTGTACGAGGGGGAGCGGGGGGGGGAGGAGGTCCGATGCAAAATGTAAGATTCCGGAAGGGGGGGTATGGCCAGACCCCCCCCCCCCCCTTCTCGGCTACGTGCCTGTCGGCGGGTGTACTTCCAAAGTATAGAGATAACGTAGTTTTTTTATTTTTCTTGATTTGCTCAGATGTACTAATCTTTTACAATTCTAGCGAAAGCTTCCACCAACTTCTGAAATCTCTGTGGTAAATCCCAGCGCGACAAGTTAAGAAACCGAGTTATGGGGTCAGCTTAAAGTGCGTTTAATTAATTTCGCCGTAGCCTCCTATATCTTGAGAAAGCCGGGGACATCGAGGACGAAGTCACTGGCCCGCGGCCGCAGGAAAGATGGCGGTGGCTTAGCTCGGCTATGCCAGGATATACGTAGCGTGAGGTGATGCGCACAAATGAGAGGCGCTATTAAGCGACTCCGGTGCAGCGTCAGACTTGGCTACTGCGCAACGGAGGCGCACAGCTGGGCACGCGGCGGCGCCAGTGCGTCAGCCGCGGCTATGGCGTCACTCCTCTGGAATGCGCAGACCGGCGAGGCGCGCGTGGCGGCGGCGGCGCCGGCGCGCCAGCTGTGCGCCGTGTGACGTCACAGTTCCTCGCGCCTGCGCAGAACGGCTCTTTGGGAGCCACGCGAAGCTGCTCAACCTCGGCCAGTGTAGCTCACGCTACAAAAGAGGAGGAGCGCGCGGAACGGTGACCAATATGGTAGCGCAGAGCAGAAAGGGCAAAGACAGTGTGCGAGCGCTTGGGTCATGAGCGGCCGCTCCCGGAACCACGTTTATTTTCGTGTTTTCGTCACCACCGTTTTCGTACTCCGGGAGAAGCGGTTGCGGCGATTTGAAAGGGCTCTGGCAACACTGCACGATACCGATGGCGTCGGCGGAGTTGTCGGCGTGCCAGCGGAGTGCGTCGTCGTCGGACCATCGTATCGTGCCGCGGAAGAACCATGCAGTTTTGACTAAACGTAACCGACGGCCGCGACCGTTGGTTTCGCGTTCAAGGACCGTTTCGGAGCTGCGGGCGCAGGGAGAAAAGGGAAAGGATTGACACTGAGTTTCTCCTGTCCATGATACCGAAAAGAAAAGAGTAATAAAAATAGTGTTTCTGCGCTTGGCCGCTCGCTCTTGTGTGGCGCTAGCAGGCAATCTTCCCTCCGCTCCCGTTTCCCCGCCCCTCCTTTTCCATTTTCGGCGGCCGTCTTTTCTCGCGACGCGCCAGGCTTTCTCCGTGTAGAGGAGGCTATGATTTCGCCCACGCTGAACAACCGACTGAGATAAGAGTAGGAAGACCCGTTTTTAAGCCTCTTCAGACGGTTTTCCACCAGCTCCGCTGCTTCGCATCCGGTCGTAAGAGGCTTAAAAACCGATCTTTTCTGCTTCGGTCATACTTGGTTGCACGTGTGTGAACGGGCCTTAAAGTCCCGTTCACACATAAAAGACCGGTTTTTAAATCTTTTGTGACGGCTAACGACCGACTGCATCGTAAGAGGCTTAAAGGGGCACGACACCACAACGCGCAAAACAATTTTCACACGCAAAACAATCTTGGTTGACTTCTTCTTACCCCCTTTGCTTCTTTTTATTTGTGACGCAGTCGATTATGAAATTTAGACGCCTAAAAAGCGACGCTTGTATATTATTTAATAACGGCATTCGTAAAGCCTGTTTTTTAACGCAATAGCGAACGCACTACTCACCCTTCTTTTGAAATATTGAAAATCGGAGTTCGGAATTGATGTCGCCTTCTGACGTTTTATCCTCCATTGGAAAACATGGCGGCGCTCGGTGCATGTAGCAGTGAGGATGATCGGGGAGTTGGGAAATCGGGCGAAGTTCTCTTTTCGGAGCCCGACGACCTCTGAAACTTCGAAAAGAAAATCGTCAAGCGGTCAAAACAACCGAGTTTGGTGTCTGTGTACCGTCGACTCGGTTGTGGCTCCAACGGGGCAGCCTTTCACGCAGCACCGGCGCGACATGGCCCCTCATGTCGCTCACAGAAATTCAATGCGTGTCCTCTTCGACCTCGCATAGTCTCAAAGAATTCGAGATCGTCGAAAGGGCCCTAAAAGAACTTCACAAACTAAAATTTTCAGGATAGTGTCCTTTTTATATCACTTCAAATAAAAAAAAAATATATATATGTTTTTCTGTCAGTGCCACTTAAGGGGGACCCCCCTGGGGGGGTCAACTTTTGAACACTTGGCTTAAAATTATTGAAATTTACAGGGTAGGCTGGTGGTCATGCTAGAGAATGCATAACAAAATTTCAGGTCTGTCGGTTAAATGGCAAGGAAACCAGAGCAGCTTCTATCAGCAACACGCCTACAATGATTAGTTAATCTTTCGTCGAAAAACTATCACAATATTCGAGATCTTTATTTGCTAGATATGTAGCGAAATGCCTAGATGGTGCGGCTATGGAAAGGTTTTTGTAAAAAGTCTTTTATTTTTATAAAGTTTTTCTTCTGCGAAATTGGTAAAGCTTTTGGTCTTCTGTGCCTTCGACAAAATGTCAACATTTTTTATAAAAGACATCCGTAAAGTGAAAAAAAAGTTCCATAGCCGCACTCCTTATTAAATTCCAGTCAGGAAAAGGGAAGGATGGGCTTTCCCTGTTTTGCATTATCAAACGATAGATTGACTAAAATGGAATTTCTACCAAAAAGTGGAACGGAGAAAAATGCATTCAAAGTGCTCAAACCCTACCTTTTCTTTAGCTTCGGTGGATAGAAAATAATTTATAAAAAAATAATTATGCAGTGTAAACTGATTAAACTTTCTGGGAATACTCTCTAGATGTTGGTGGATGTAAATATATCATTTTTCCAAATCAACATTTTTTGCAGGATTTTTTTTTTCTGGGCAGTGTAGCCCCTCAAAGGGATACTGAATCTAAATTTGGATTTCGCAAAGTAAGGCTGCAGAAGTGTTGAAGGGGACGCTACAAACCCCAAAACATCACTCGTACATCGATATCTCAAACGGATGGCCGTACTTTTGGAAAAGAAGGGCGCGATCAAGCGAGGTCTTTGACGTAACTGTCTCCGGGAAAATTTCAGAATGAGGAGAAGCGGCCTCGCTTCTCTTTTCCTCGCTTCGGTTCACCAGCTCGACGGGACGTAGCGAGGAGGAGAGAGGATGGGAATCGTGACGGGCCTTGTTTCGTCGGTCTCGTCGGCCGGGTTCAATCGCGCACTTTTTTTCCAAAAAATACGGCGATCCGTTAGATATATCGCCGTATGAGTGATATTTCTTGGTTTTGCAGCTTCCCGCCTATCTGCCCGGCCTTATTTAGTGAGCTCGAAATTTCGGTTCAGTATCCCTTTAAGGCGCGTTCCCACACTTGCAACCGAATAGGACCGACCGAGACAAGACCGGTTTTTAAGCCTCTTGCGACTGCTTGGGACCGAATGCACTGCTACGGAGCAGGTTCTAAGCCTCACAACGGGCTTAAAAACCAGTCTTGTCTCGGCCGGTCCTACTCGGTTGCAAGTGTGTGAACAGGCCTTTACACAATTCGATGCAGCACCGCGTCTAAAATACCAGTTGAGTGCATAGCAGAAACTTGGAGACGCTCCACCCGCAGTAGAGGAATGAGACGCTTTTTATGACATGCTGACTTTGGCTAGATAGGCGTGAAACAAGCTTGACTTTCTAGATGCGTCAAGAAAGCCTCTGTTTGCGAACTTTTCCAATAATCTCCGTCTGCGCTCGTAGCCATCGTTCGATCTTGGGCATATGGAAGACGTTCCCTGCTCTCGTAGTAGCTCTCTTCTGCGGGCTAGCAGATGCTTGCATGCGTCCTGAGTCCTGTGGCCTTATACTTTTCGCCTGAACGGATCGTTTAAACAGTGTATAGTAAGTAGCACTCTTATCCAACATTTTTTTTTCGCTCGTAATATTTGTTGCAATGCAGGCGCTGTTCCGGGAAGCGTCCTTGTTCCTACACCGAGCGACGCGGGGTCGGGTCTTCTTCAAGGACGTCACCATCGCCGTGCCGTCCACCTGGCCCCGGAGAGAGGAAGCAGAGGCCACGGCCAGCAATCTGTTCGACGGTGCCGACCTACGCGTGGCCGAGCCGAACCCGGAGTACGGAGACACGCCGTACACGCTCCAGCCAAGAGGATGCGGGGAAGTCGGAGAATACATCCACATCACGCCGGCTTTTCTCAGCGGCTTGAACGGGACCACTTCGAAGACATACGGCAGCCCGGGTATGCGCTTTTAAATATTGTAAACTTTTTTTATTTAAACCACTCTCCCCTCCCCCTATCCCTGCCCCAATTAAAAATTCCGGTCGTCATTCTGAAACGCAGATGCTTGGGACGGTAAGGTACACTACACAACACTGTTAGCGCGAACACGTCATCAGTGTTATTATTTTTTTTTAATGCGGTAGCACCTTTTAGTTACCCCCCCCCCCCCCTCTTCCCTGATTTCGTAGACCTTTCTGGCCTTCTAATGCCTCCTAATTGGCGTTACGTGATCTATGCGTCAATTCAGTTTCGTCGTTAACTTTGGTTGGAAACTTGACGTCACGTGACCGGAAGCAACAGGGCCTAAAGACAAATGCAGGTTCCCTGCTAAATTTAGCGGAACCATTGACGTCACGTAAGCTAGGCATTAGGGAGTTGTAGTAGATCGTTCTTCTCCTCTGCTACGGCATCCCCGAAGAAAACGCCGCAGCTGCGTATGCGCGCCGCCAGCCTTCTCTGCATAGCTCAAGGTCTTGTGGCGGATTACGGAGCGCTATCTGGGTGCTTAGCGGGCTGCGGAAACGGTCTAACACAATTCCCTAATAATTCAGTTGCCCCGCTAATTTCGGTATTCACACTAAATTCCTATTCACATTGAGCTGCGCCGTGAGTCTCATGACGAATTCTATCGCAGCTCATAAACAACCAAGAATAGTGGTTTCTGCAGCCGATTTTCGTATCTTGCTTCGAAGAGGTATTGGCGGGCACTACATTCTACCGCTTGGGATAGTTCCCTAAAGCCGCGGCCAGTCCTCTAACGCATGATACAAACGACAGTCTCTAGACGCTGTTCGAGGCGTGTTTATTTCATTGTACGACGGCTCTGTACAACGTTGTTCCTACAATAACTGATTGGAGTCACTTTCGCATGGGTGCAGATACTTCTGCCAACATGTCCGGAGAAAAGAGGGTGCCTTTTGTATGATGCATGAACAGTATACGGCTCAATAAAGCCCTCTTCATCACAATAGTGGTTTTCAAGACGGCCTTTCAATTCTAAAAATAAATGGAGAAAAAAAAAAAAAAGCCGGCGATCGCTTGTATGCGCTACCAATGTCGCGAAGCGTACGTGCGTCGTAACACCCCCCCCCCCCCCCCCCCCCCTTCTTATTGCGCGCATACGTGGATTGAGGGACGAGGTGCTCACTGCTTGCGCCAGTCTTCACAATGCCTCGCAAGAGGAAGGAGCCAACTGAAGAAGCGGCAGCAGAACAGAATTGGTGTACTAACTAGCTCGCCAATTCATATCCTTTGTATTACTTACTTCAAGGTCATGATATTCCGGATTGACGTTATATAGATCGGTATGGCCTAGGTTAGTACGCTGGATCTTTGCAGCAGCGAGCCTTACTTTCGTTAAGTCGGTTCCAGCTGTGCATCGACGAGAGAAGCGATGGTGGACTGAGGCTAGTAAAAGAAAAGGGCACACGGCGATTCATAGTTTATAACACGGCAGTGTGTAGTAGCTTACCATAGAGTTAATATAATAATCTGGAGTGAAAGTTCCCGTACTTCGGACCGTACCGGAAGGGCGCGGCGCAGCCGCAGGCATCGATGGTTGCACTGGCTGGTCCTGATCGATTGGTGTCTATCGGTGGCGACGCCTTAGTATACACTAAGGAGCAGTAAAACATCCCCCGTAAGGTTTTACCCAGATAGTTTTTAGCTTTACTTTGCAAAACGAAACAAAATACACCGGCATCGCGTATAAAAAAAAAAAAAAAGAGAAAAGAAAACGAAATACATGAAGTTGACAAGCACTCGCACAACTTGAGCTCGTCGCGGCAAAACGAACCCACGTAACCTTTGGTCTATAGTGTTTTTTTTTTCCCCACTTTTGTGTCGCTCTCTTTCTCGTTCTTTATATCGGAATCGCCGATATCAGCGCCCTGTATTTGCGAGCGTTCTGCTTTCGCTTTTACCCCAACTCTCAGTGACAGCTCAAGGAAGACCAGGAAAACCTTGAGCAACTTTAGCGCTTTATCCTGCACCTTGAGCAACAACAGAACCTGAATCTGCGGGCTTTCAAACCGTCGTATCTTTCTGACAAGGTGTTTTCCAGTTTCGATGCGAGTGTTGCAGATGCAATAGTAATTTTCTCTTTCATTTCGCAAAGTGACGAAAGGGATCTAGAATTGCCGCGTCCACAAAAGAAACGGGTAATAAGCTTCGTGCTTAACGACCGTTTGTTATCTTCTCTGGGTATTCTTCTGACGAGCGTATGTGTTTGGAATACTGGTGGTGCTTAGTGAGCAGGTTAAACATGGTTAGAATGTCACGATGCGTACCAAGTATTTGCGGTTTTCTAAAACGTTTTCTTCGATAGGAATTTAGAGGCCGACCCACCTCTTTTCAATTGTTTATTATATGCACCTTATCTCCTCATCATTTCCACAGTTATACTAGGATAAGGCTAACTTTGGATAAAGACTTTTAAACGAAAATACTGATAAATGACTCATATATTTTGATTTTTGTTTTGTTTTGCTGAACACTTGCATCGTCAAACGATGTGATAAACAAAACACGATTTAAGCTAAAATCACCTTACATTTTGCGTAAAATAAAAAAAAAAAAAAGTGGAAGAAAGGCTGCCTTCACGCTAAAGCCGTGTTGTGCCCGTTACCGAAAAAAGTAACGAAATAGCGTTACTCGTTAGTTTGGTAAAAAGTGACGCGTTATCGAGCTACGTTACTCTTTTACAAACGTAACGATATACCGTTACCGTTACTTTTCAAAAATAACGAACGTTACTTTTACGTTAGTTTTCTGTTCGAGTACATATGTTTGGCAGAGATGTATGATAAGCCTCCTTAACAAGCTTGGATAAAGATAAAAATTTACAGAGTGGTTTCATAGTGTTCTGATGCGCGAAGCAGCTTAATTTTTGGCATGCAGATTAGGCATTGAAACTGTAAATTACCTGATTCTGTCTTCTTTAGTTGATACATTTCATTCAGACCTGCTGGCCATGGCGACGGACTTTCGTTATTCATGCCCATCTCACGCGCAGAATGAGTCGGAGATGTTAGTCAATCGGCTTTTATAAACTACAGCATGCGAACGAGGACTGCTGGAACACAACCAGCCAACCCACACCCCTCATCTGTACGCCGGTTTTAGTAACAGTCCGGTTCATACTATTACCATAGACTGATTTATTTCACTATCTGGAACAGGACACCGGTTAGCAGCACACTGGCTATAATCACTTGCTGCCTCTTACCAGCAGTAGCTCTTAATTTGTCTGTGAAAAAAAAAGAAAAGGTTTCGTGTTTGTAAGTTTTTTTTCCAGGTTTAAAACTTCTTTTTTTAATTTTTTTTTTATCATGACCTTAGAGAATTGAAGACTAATCAAGCGAAAGCTTCTTCTGTGTACAAAAATGGGTCAGGAACTTTCAGGCAGCGAGGGGGAGAGCGAGGGTAAAAATATTCCACAAAAATATTCCCCCCCAGCGCTGTCCACTTCTGCTGCACAAAGCAGGGGGGGGGGGGGGGGGGGGAAGAGGACGGAGGGGAGGAGGCTGTAGCGCAGTCATTCGTTCAAGCCTTCTGGGTGGTGACACTATGAAAAAAAAAAGAAAAAAAAAAAAAAAGGAGGATGAACGGAATTAGCTGGTAGCCGAAGGTTTTTTTCGCCTTCGAGAAGTGAGTTTTTTTTTTTTTTTTTTTAACTTAACTGTGACGGATGCTGGTTCCGTGCAGCGATAAGCTGGTGCAGGATTTTGAGATAAGCTCGTGCAGGATTTCACCAGTTTTAGTGAAAGTAACGAGCAACGAGTAACGAAATTTGTAGGTATAAGGTTTAAAAGCGCAAACAGACAGGGACAATAGAAAATAACACAAACGACAGGGACAAGGCGCTCTGGGAAAGGGCCCATAGTAGAAGAAATATGACCCATTAAAACTTTGGTTTGGGCTAGTTGGTCCATGGTAGATATAAGGTTTAAATGCGCAACCTTATACCTACAATGGACCAACTAGCCCAAACCAAAGTTTTAACAAAATATGACAGCCGATACCGTAAAAACGTAACGGAAATACTTTACTCGTTAGTCATTCAGAATTCTAACGAGTACGTTACTGCGTTAGCGAAAAATGTAACGCGTTACCAGTAACGTCGTTACTAGTAACGCGTTACCTCCAACACTGCGCTAAAATAACCCTAATATCGTTTACATTTTTTGTAAGGTAATTGCGGAAGCATCTTGTGTTCAAGGTACATACTGTGCGACAGTTGCTATTAGCGCGAAAAAGTCAGCACTGCTTTTTCTCCGTTTCTTTCTCAGTTTTAATTAACTGTCGTCAAAAGACGAATAGTGGTGGAAAGTGCTCGGATGGGGTATTAACCTTGGGCGGCGGAGAAAAGCTCACCGGAGAAAAGCTCACCGGAGAAAAGCTTACCGCAAAACCGGCAGACGCGGAGAAAAGCTCACCGGCCTTTCAGCGGATGCGGAGAAAAGCTCACCGATTTTTTCTTTCACTTAGTGGATTCTGCGTAAAACGTGGCGATTTAACACAATTAGAATTCGTCACTTCATTAAAAATAAGTCTCCTTTTCGGTTGTAATATTCTTGAAGTTCATTGGGAATATTTGCTAATTCCTCAGAAATTAGTAATCACCCATTCTGTATATTAATAAAGCCGCAGGTATAAAATCAGGACATCGTACACCTGTAAAAAACGACCATTTATTGACAGCTGACAGTGCGCCGTCGATAGCTCTGTCAGATAAAAACGCTTGCTGTTAGCGAGTTAATATGAATAGCGGTGTGGTGAACGATTTCAGCTCCGAATATTGTGTACTGCCTAATAGATAAGTATGCGTGCATTGATATAATCAGTGTACGCTACGCTGTTTTATTTCTGTTAATTTCATTAAGAAAACTTTAGTTGCGAAAACAGCCTCGTCGTGTCGTGTTTGTTGTTTTCACTCCATCGCCGTCATTTGAGCGGTTTTCATCATGTATAACGTTTACCAACTCGCCCTATTCGCTAACTTACAGAAAACTACTTCTTATATACACGTTTGCAAGCCTGGCTTCAGGGCGCTACCATATTGCTTGACTGGGGTGCGCTAGGGCGAGTCATAATCCGATTACGAAGCCTTGCGAAGGCGTCGTAATCGGATTATAGCCACGCCCGAGAGCGCACCCCACTGAGGAAGATGGCGGCGCCCTGAGACCGGACTTGCAAACGTGTATAGGTGACGAGTAACAGCTGTGCCAGTGTGCAGCTCTGAAGGTCATGGCTGGCTCATCGTAGAAGGGCACTATCACACAAAGGCAACGTGTGGAAACACCAGCACGAACGGCTAGAAAACGTGCATATCCGTGGAAGAAGGAAGCCTCAATACCCTACTGACTGTTTTATACTGTTTTCAAAAGTTAACCAAAGCTTCAAAGAGAATTTCAGGCTTCCCGTTGTTGCGCATGCCCTTTCGAATATTCGGCATTTACAGTTTTGATTTTTAGGTTTTAGGCAGACATTATTAAGTCTTCGAACTTTTTCCTGTTCTTCAAGTTCATAAAGTTGTCAGTTAGGCTTTCGTTGCCCTAGAGAGTGAGCCACAGAAAACACTTGCCCGCATTTATTATTTTGGGAGCAGTATACCCAATAAGCTTAACAAGTATTACAAAAAATGTCTTTTTTTTTACCAAGCTGACGAATTTTAATAATAATGAATTGATATATGTTACGGATGATCCAAAAGCCTCCATATAAAAAGAAGGAAAAAAAAATTGGTGACCTTTTCTCCGGATACGCTCAATGGCCGGTGAGCTTTTCTCCGCATCCGCCGGTTTTGCGGTGAGCTTTTTTCCGGTGAGCTTATCTCCGGTGAGCTTTTTGCTCCGGTGAGCTTTTCTCCGGGATTCCTTAACCTTAACGGTAAATTTTGATGCTCGCCAATACCCTTTCGAGGTAAAATACGAAAATGCGCCCAAATCGCGTTCGCGCTAAAAGTGCCGCGCAGTGTACATGATTGCTCATCTCTGTTCTAGAACAAAAAAAAAAAAAAAAAAAAAAAAAACGTAGAGAAAGCTCGGAACGGGGGGCCCTAATTACTGCATCGACCTTTTTTGTTGTTTTATCATCATATGTTGAACACAAGACTCAAAGTGCTGGAAAAATACCGTAACCGCAGCACAATTATGGACATTTTTATTATTTAAGAAAAGGGAGGGGAGGGGGGCAGCCTGCAGGCAATACAACAAAAAACAAACGAGGAGACAAAAATATAGACTGCGTTTATTATAAGAGCGAAACTACAATTAAAAAAACTGCAATATATAGCATTTTGTGCAAACGTAAACAAGAATAAGAAAGGCACCAAAATAAAACATACAAAATTCATGTTAGCCAAGGCATAATTATGCTACCTGAACGCTTTGTATTGCAGTAAGAACTGAGGCACAAGGCGCAGTGAGAATTTTACGATATTTTTTTATATTCGTGTAGTATTCGCCTAAATAGTTTTAACCTGCATTTAAATTCGCGCACTCTTTTGGTGCGAAGCTTGGTACTATATTTATTCAGATAGTGAAACATCGATATAAGCGTTTATTGATTTTTTAACGACCCTTACAAATATTTTCATAGACCAATGAACGTGTGAGATGCGGGAGAAACATACAGTATACGAAAAAAAAGTTCGCTGGTCGCAGTTGAGGTCTCACATTTTTACGGCTTTCCATGGTCCCGCTTTGCTTTTGGGTTTCAGACGCTTAATTATCAGAGCGTAGAACTTTTCCACTTTTCTGTATTGAAGTTTTGCTGTCTTTTTAATATTGTTTAGCAATGACATCTTAAAATTCGTTGCAGCCTTCCAGCTGGTCCACGAATGGGCTCACTACAGGTACGGTGTCTTCGACGAATACGGCGCGGCTGGGGACTACCGGTACCCGAGCCTCTACTGCGAGTTTGGAATGGTACGCAAAGCCTGATGCGTCTTCCCGTCATGACGCACTACACATTTTACACATAAAGACGATCGCGAGCGGCGAAACCTCCAACTGCGATCGGCATCCAGAAGGGTAGTTGTACTACCCCTCTTACCTTGTCCGCGACTCCTCATGTGTCATGCGAAAGGTAGGAAAGGTAGCGCAACTTCCCCTTCGGACGCCAATCATAGTTCGAGGCTTCGCCGCTGAGTGAGAAGGGCCTGGACGTGCGCAGAACTCTTCAGTTGAGTTGAGCTTACTTACTGCTGCCCAAAACGAAGCAGAGACATATATTGCGGGATAGTAAAACATAAAAACAAAGGAGTGTAACAGCTAGTGTGTACGTGCGGGTGATGCAAATAAAAATAGAATTGACATACACAATAGTGGCGTACCATGTTCCCTACGGGCAGCTCCATACTTTAAGGAATGAAGACGCTATAAGAACCGAAACATTACGTCTATTTATATCAGTCGCATCTACCCTCTCTTACAACGAGTATTTCTTTCTGCATCGTGCAAATAAATTTCTTTCGTGTTGTACTATTTTCTTGTGTGTGTTTTTGAGTTCGTCTGCTCTAGGGGTGCCAGGACCTCGGTCAAGCCACTCATGCCACATTGTGTCCTCGTCCTCCGTTTCAAGATATGGAAGAAAAATGTTGTTATTACGATTGTTGACCAAACATGGATTTTATACGCTATGGCTGAACAGAAACTTATTGCTCTTTGACCAGGTTCGGGCCAACGCCTGCTCGGTCCGCATGCGGTTCACGGCTTCCACTGAGAACGGCGAGCCTTGCCGCGTGTACCGGGGCTGCCAAGTGTCGACCAAGTGCAACGCTAAGTTCTACCAGAACACCAGGGACCCAGTGGAATCTTCCATCATGTTCATGCCCTACATTCCTGGTGTAAGCCTGGCGAATATTTTTTTTTAGGGCGATAGCCTTTACTAAGCTGTTTTAGTGGATTGTTCTGATGACCCCGATAACTATACCCGATACTCCGCCGACATTATCGCGCATCGTTATCGGAGGTATCGTGTAACGATCCGTCAAAGCTCCCCTATTTGGCGATGTTTTGCGGCGGATCCCGGGGGTCTGTGTTTGTGTGTAGATGGCGCCTGCTAAATTTCGCTGGAAAATATACACGGCATATTTGGTAAGGAATGAGGCGACCTCACAATTTAACCTTTATATAGAGCGAAACAGTATCTCCTAAAGCAAGACATCACGTGACGTCAGTATATGATGTTAAATTGTTCGTTGGACTTAAAGGGAAGCTAAAACACTTCTTTAGAAAAAAAAATAAAAAAAAAGACTAGGACAGAGGTTGATTCTAGCGTGGTTTCATACCGTGAATCTGAATGTGACGTTCGTTTTCGCCGAACTTGTAACTAAACGCGAGAAAACACGGAAACCTCCGACCAGTCGTGACGTCATAAGAGGATCTTTCGGCCGCCAAGCGCGTGTGGATCGAGGGCCGCACGTACAATAGGCCTATTGCTAAATTACCCAAGCATCAAGGAGAATGCAGGGATTGGTATTCCACGCGCCGCACGTGCAAGCCTCAGCAGTCGTAACTTTTCTAAAGCAAATGCCGAAAGCAAATTTCATCATGCAAGCGCGTTCTTCAGTGCTTTATTTTGGTTATATATAGGGTTCCGCTTTCTTGGTTTTTATTTTTTAGAAATTCGGCATACTTTTTTCGGTGTATATTTATTTCCAAAAAAGTTTAGCGGTTTCTTGCGGTGAATATGAAAGAAACACCATCGGACACCGGATCAGATAATCGTTGTAGCTGTGATAGTTGTGATCACTCAAAGAATAACGACAGAAATACATACGTGGTCTTCGCTACAACTTTCATAGGACACACCTAAAAAAATTTCCGAATTCGCGGGCATAATTTTTAGCGTGCTTCTTTTTCCTTCCCATTCTGACGACGTGACCGTTTGAGGTAATGACCCTACGCAAACAAGCGGAATGGCAAAAAATATATATATATATTCATTGTATCTATGTTCTAAATTACAGGGAAGATTGAGGGAGGGTGTTAAGAAAGGTATTGATGGGGTTTTCTCGATGTCCTCTCAAGTGCATGAAGCGATAAACGTTATACTAGCCTGGATCCATGCTTTTTTGGGGGGGACCGGGAACTTGACACATGAAGCCCGATCACAGAAAGGGCACAGATGTACCGCGAAGGCCAATCCAAGACCTCTTTTGTTGCATGTTGAACCTTGAAAGAGGGTAGTCACGAAGACGTGAAACAATGTCGAACCTTGCAAAGCCCTCTCTCTCTCTCCCTCCCTCATTTACCTCGACGCGGCCCTAAAAAAAAACCGACTTTTTTCGGTTAAAACCGAATTTTAGAAAACGGGTTAGACATACTTTTAAAGGTTTAAACCCAAACCGCCGAACCTACGAATTGACCTTTTTCGGTTAAAACCAAATTTCCGAAACTGGATTCGGCGTATTTTATCGGTGTTTATCGGTTTAAACCGAAAACTCCAAACCCTAGTTATACACTCGGAATCTTTTATACGGGGAAGGCGTGCGCGTCTGTTGCGTGGAACACGAATCCCTGCATTCTCCTTGACAGTTGGGAAATTTACCGAAAGGTCTATTGCAAGCTTGCCAGGTATATTCCCCCTCCCTGACACCAGACGTGGCGTATTTTTCTGTCCTTTTTAAAAATAGCAAGAGTGCGCGTGCATAGCTTTTATGAAAAGAACAGTGAGTGCGCAGGTGAGCTGGTGGATGTTGATCATGATGTAAAATACCCGAGACTGTGGTAAAAGCTGGGAAACTTGGTCGAAGTTATGCAGGTTTGGTCGAAGTTATACAATTTTTCCAGCTCTTACCACAGTCTCGGGTATTCTACACCATGACAGCTTTTATATGCGCTGAAGATACGTGAGAGCGGGCATTGCGGAAACTAATTTTGTGACCTCACGCTCCGGGAAGGAGGGCCCTGAGCGGTTCTTTAAAAATTATTTTCTGCAGCCCCCATGCATCAAACTGAAAAAAAAAAGAAATCGATATTTTAGATTTTGAACGTTAAATGAAGACGATATGTGTGTTTCCTTAAATGTAAAAACCGCTTCAGCCTCTTTTCAAAGAGACATAAGAGCGCTAAATTTGAACAGAGATGTGTACCCGTGTATCGCGGTCTGAGCAACGCCTCGGCTATGGGCAAAGTTCATTCTGCAGAACACAGGAAGTAACCGCCACATGTTGTGCTTCGAAATCGCACCGATTTTGAAGCCCGTAGCGATCTGGTGTTCCCTTGAAATGAAGGGCTCAATGCCTTTCCTTGGTATTATGAAGCAGACATGCCATTATTAAAAATTCTTCTTCTTATTCAGATACAACCAGAAGAAAAGCGAATGGAGCAGGCAACCTGAGTTATCAAACGTTGGAGTGGCTGTATGATTTGGAATTGTTTCTGTCAATATCCTAGGTCAAGTTCATATCAACATTAGAGGTTTCTCGCTTACTCACAGTGACATGTTACTCATAGTTCCTCCAGTAAAAATACATTACCTAAATTAAACATGTTATCATGCTATAATCGTCTTTGAAGCGCCGTAGGCCGAAGGAGATAAGTAAGCGAGCAAATTAGCCTTTTACTTTCTTTTGAATTCATTTCGCGCTTTAGCGCTTCTCGTTTGTTATGGGCCAATACCCATAACTTCTTTCTGTATAACTCAATGTCCATAACTTCTTTCTGTATAACTCCATCAAAGCTCCGAGTGATCTCTCCAGATACATCGCGTTTCGAATTTTTTTTGTTTCTAGGTGTCCCAATTTTGCGACGACTCTAAACGGAAACACAATATCTTTGCCCCAAGCAAACAAAACCACATCTGCCAACGGAGGTCAACTTGGGATGTCATCAGTAACAACCCGGACTTTCAGAAGTAAGGCCCCAAAAACATTTTATCTTATCACAACGGTTCTCTGCAACCTTCTAGCAGTTGCAGACTGGAGTCATGACGCCGGAAAGAGCCTTTCTTGCTCTAGTTCACTCGAAAACAAATCATGCGATTGTGTCACGTTCTAAATGGCGCATGTTATCTTATGTTTCAGGTTGAAAAAATCTGGACAAACATTTGTTCACAAATATCCCTTCTTTCTCACGCTTTACCAGAGCGAGGATTGAACAGGAGGCGAAACTCGCGTCCTTTCAAGTTTTCGCTCCGCTAGAGAAAATATAGTGGAGAGCTTTCTGGGAGGAGCTAGCCCTGCTTCTCTTAACTTGCAACAGATATTAGATTTATGGCTTGTTGTGTGTCAGTACAACATAGCGGTGACGCACTTTCACATACATTTTATCCTGGGCGCTATGTTTGTTGCAACTTGTAGCCTAGGTGACCCGGTAGCCGAAACTCAGGTCCAGGTGAAGTTTCAAGAGGTGCAGCAAAGAAACGACAGCCTGGGCAAAGTGGTCATGGCTCTGGATATTTCGTGGAGCATGAATGTAAGTGTGCCTTGAATTCATACGCATGTTACACAGTGCATTTGTACGTCAGTGACAGGGTACGTTTTCAGGGGAAGCTACGCCCACCTCTTTTCACCTTAGCACAAAGAAATTTGCTTTTTTTCCAGTGTTTCCTCTACTAAAATGAAAAGGGATAGGAAGAGTTTCCCCTGAACTCGTCAGACTGTAGTGTCGTCGAGCGCGCTGAAGGTGTATTCTCGCCCCTCAGCAAGGTGAGCAATTTTGAATGAGTCCAGTCACGCTACATATATAACGAAGAAAAACGAGGAAAAATTAATATAGTTTTTGTTGCAACCGCAATTTAAACTACGTATCTTTGCTGGTGTTTACGTAGTGCGTATACTAGAGTCACTGAGAGGTTAATAAACGCAGGGCGTAACTCGTCGAAAATAAAATTATTGTTCTGCAGCCAATCAGTATGCGACGTCATGCGATGAGAACTTTGAAGAACCAGTGAGGAAGCAAGACTCGGGATCACAATAGGCCACACTCTGCTTTTCTTCAGTTGGCAGTTACTATGGAATGCACACATGCAGAAAAGTCTGTCCACGTTCGTGTCCAAGAACAACCCGGTTAGCAGGCACGTAGCAAAGAGGAAAGGCCCATGCCCCCCCCCCCCCCCCCCCCCCGAAACAAAATCCTGGCTACGTGCCTGCCGGTTAGCATTAATTTTTCATTTTTACCTTTCACTTGGTTGATGTCCCCGCTTAGGATTACAATCGACTGGTTCGTCTCAAGAGTGCGGCAACACACTTCGTCCGGGACGTCCTTCCGAACGACTTCCTACTCGGCATCGTGGTTTTCAGCTCTACGGCAACGGTGACTCAGAGACTGACAGCCGTGAATGACACCAGCCGTACTGACATGGCCAAAGCCATCGATGGTTTGGCTGCTGATAGAGCCACTTGCATCGGCTGCGCCCTGAAGCAAAGCGTCCAGGTAAGCTTGTGCATTTGCACTATACCCTGTGTGGAAAATATAAAAAAGTCACAAGACAAAAAAAATAAGAGAAATTAGTAAATGCTATGTTTATTTTATTTAAATCAGGTGTAACAGATGCGATCAAAAAGTTCACAGACTGATGTTTTAGCGTAAATAGAGAGGGGAGCATGGTGATGGGCGCGCAAGTGTTTAAGTCATGGTCCTTCGTTTTTTGTTATATCAAAGGACGTTATTCTGTGAACATTTGAATCTGCGCTACACGAGTTTCTGTTATGACGTGCACGATCACAACGGCCATTTCACCATGGACTGCAAAACCAAAACGAGAGCCAGAATCAATCCCTCATCAAACTCGGCAAATATAAAACGAAGACATTTGAAATAATTCAGGAGGCTTATGTAAAAACAGCAACAATTAATTGTGTGATGTGTTTTGAGCGGAACTCGCGGTTCAAGAATGGCAGAACATCGCTCGAAGACGAAGACCGAAGGGGCGACCTCCTCCCTTTGCCTTCCATTGATGTTCTGTCATTCTTTCAAGCGCCAGCGCCACTCCAAACACCTCTCACGTTCCACTGGATTTTAACATAAGCCTGCTGAATCATTTCAAAGGTCCCTCTTTTAGATTTGCCGAGTTTGACGTGGTATTGATATTCACTCTCCTTTTGGTTTGGAGTTTATAGTGGAATGGCCATTATGCTCGTGCACGTGGTCACAAAAACTCGTGTAGCGCAACTCCAAATGTTTAGTTAACGTTGGCATAATGAGTCACGAGGGTCCCTGCGTTTTGTTATGCACGCGAGAGAACGTCAAAACGTTAACTTGTATTTTTAGGTCACAGTAAACTATACAGCAAGCACGACCCCATGACGGCAAGCCCGGAAAGCGGTGAACCGTCCCCGGCACAGCATAAGCTTGACTTCATTTTCCGAATCCTTGGCATGGCGGCAGGTGGCGCTACCAGTTAGTTGCGAGTAGAGTTCCTGTATATGCTACCTACGGTAGCAGAGTTGCGCATTCAGCCTCGGCGCGTGGCCGTAGAGCGGGCTTTCCCGCACGAGATGGATGCTTTGCTCCTCACGTGACTAAATTTGGCGAATAGCGGCGCCGCACGCGCCGCCGCGCATGGAAAACAGGAGAGGAGGAAAAGGAGGCGGAAAGCAGGGGAATATACGCCGGGGCAAGAGAAACGTCGGCGGAGCGACCGTAAAGGTGGCTTTCTTGCACGCCAACGGATGCTTTGCTCCTGACGTGATGGATCTCCGCGAATAGCGGCGTGGCGGCGCGGGGAAAACAAATGCGCAACTCTGGCTCCCGTAGGGAGCCTATACAGGAACTCTAGTTGCGAGAACTCAACACTTTTGACTGCTGCGCGCGCACCATCCTACTGTCCTTTTTTCTTTTCGATACAAAAGCAGTTTTGGAATTTTGTTATCGTTCGTCGTAGTTGATATCAATCAGGTTACTTTCATTTAAACCCCTGTAGCCATGGGCGTCCACAGAACTTTTTCCAGGGGGGGGGGCACCCGTGCACATAAAGGGCCGGGGAAAGGGGGGGGGGGGGGGTTAAGGGAAAAGAAATTGCCAAAGATGCGCGATTTCCGGTGTAAACTTCAAGGATAAAAAAAAAATATTAGAAACGGCAAGGTAAACTGCCAAGCTTAAGAAAGAGACTGGATTTTGTTTTGAACAAAGCGTAAAGTTTAATTATTCAAATTGCAGAAAAATTATTAAAAATATGTTGACAACAAGAGTGCCAAGTGTCTGTGAACGTGAGTTTGCGGCTCACGCGAACTGATGACCAGCACATAGCACAAAATGTTCACCAACATGCGACTGTAGTTAGTCTTCCTTGAATAACAGCTGCAGACGCCTTGGATTTTTCTGGGCAAATTGTGTGATTACACGGGTGATAAAGTCGTCCTTGTGTTTCATTACACGCTCCCGGTGTGCGCTCATCATACAAAGGCCGTCCAACCTATCGTTCCTCATAGTTGAACGTAGCCACGTCTTCACTCTCCTTAGTGTACTGAACGAGCGTTCGACAGTGCAGGTGGTAACTGGTAAGGCAAGAGCCACCTCGATGGCGTTTGCGACAGCGGGGAAGAACGTCTTTGCCTGAAGCAGAAGTTCGGGATAAGATATTTCTGAGCAGTCCCCAGTTCTGTTGAGCCACATCTCATACCAGGAGATGCCCTCTTCCTTGAAGTTTTCGATGCCGTAAAAGCCTTGGAGTTCATCGGCGAGAACAGCAAACTCAACGCGACTCAAGTGCTTCATTCTTGCTGGATGCAGCTGGAGAAGTCTGTAGCTCTTCTTGTTGCTTTCAGAAAAGCGGCGAGCCAAAGAAGCATTGAGAGAGTCCACGTACGGCACATATATTGCCACGCGGTAATACTCTTCCGGCAACTGTATCCCGTAGTTGTCTCGGTGGGCCTGCCGTGAGGCTTGTCTGGGTACAGATATCAACACGCCTAGATGATTGGCCGCTTCACTTGCTGTCTTCATGATATCCGAGAACTGCTCTTCAGCGTTGGTCCGGTGGCCGCGAAAAATATTCTGCAGCTCAGTGATGTGGTTGTGTACAGAATGGAAATTCATGAATAGACTCTGCAAAATGTTCGTAACGGGTTCCAGCCGTGCGCTGTACTTCGCGACAAAGTGCAAACAGACGATGAAAGATGAGCTCGTTGTTGCGCAGTGGAGGATATGAGCGCGTTCCCTCGTTGCAGCATTCGAGCTTGATTCCATTGATGCCAGGTCCTCGAGCGCTTCGACTATGGCCACGTAATGCTCAGAGAAGATCCGAATTGACTTGTATTTTGCAGACCACCTTGTTTCACACAGCATCGGAATGTTGGGCACCAATTTCCTTCGGAGCACGCTCTCACGGAAGAAGTTTATGGTTTGTTTGATGACCCCTATCGTGTTTCGAATTTCAGAGACCTCGTTCAGATCGTTGATCACGAGATTGAGTTTGTGGCTTGCGCAGTGGAAGAATAGTGCCTTAGGAAGCTCTTTCTGTATTATTTTGTTTACTCCAGCTTCTTTTCCAGCCATTGTAGAGCATCCATCGTATCCCTGTCCAACGAGGTTCGACAGAATCAGCCCGGCATCCTTCAAAAACTTCAAGATTGTAGCGGCGATGCAAGCGGAGTTCAGTTGTTCCAGCTCTAAAAATCTCATAAACTGCTCCCGAACGAATGCCTCGGTTCCCGCCTTGTCAATAAAGCGAATCCCTATAGACAGCTGTTCTGTTCCTCCAATGTCCGCCGTTTCGTCCGCAAGGACGGAGAAAGCCAACGCTGTGTTAGCTTCGGACACAATTTGCTCTCTCAGGATGTCGCCACAGATTGTGATGATCTCGTTCTGGATCCGGACAGAAGTGTACTTTGCGTTGCCAGCACAAGAAGCGAAGTGTTCCTGAAGTCGAACATCTCCAGCTTCCACCCGAAAATCAAGGAGATCGTTGAAGACTCCACTGTCAGACTGCTTCCCGCGAATAGGCAAGTCATGCGTTGCGCAAAAGATGATGGTGGAAACTATAGGAAATAGTTTCTCGCGGTTCTTTTCAACTTGGTGATGCAGTGCTCTGTTCAGCTGCTGTGCAACGGGTAGCTGCATGCTCATCATTACATTCATAAAGTCTTGTGAGGCTGCCATTGCTTCCTGGTGCCATTGGGACTTTACGTGATCCCTGCACGCCTCATGCATCTTTTTGTAGTTCATGAAAGCACGCACGATAAAGCTACCTTGAGTGCCGCGGTGAACATTCGGGGGAAAAGTGACGCAGTAACGGCAAAGGGCGCCTTTCGCTGTCGCTGAGTACGCAAGCCAAGGGGAGTAATCTGCCAGCCATTGGTAGCGGAAACTTCTTTTGACAGATGTTACATCTTTCTTAAAGTCGTACTTAACATCTGGCGTCCGTGGGTCTTTAAGAAGGCGTAACTTCAAAGAGTCCGGGATGCTCGGGTGTTTAGCTTTTTCTAGAAACTCTCCCAAGTCATAATTATTAAAGACCCGAGTTGCTTCCTTGCTGGTGTCACCTTGGTTTAAACCCAAACAAGGGGAAGGGGAATCATCGTAGCTTACTACGTCGTGGGAGCTCACCGTTGGTGCAGTCCCTCTCGTAGACTCGACGATGTCAGCTGCTGTCTGGTGATGAAAGCTTGCTTCACTTTGGTCAGATGTGGCAACGTTGAAACATGTCACACCAGGATCTTCAGCAGGACGACTTGATAACACTTCGTCACACATCCGCTGACGCTTGAAGAAGTGTCGAATGTCCATCGTTTCGGATCGCGCTAGGCAAAGGTGACTAGAGAGTGCTTCGTGGGAGATGGCGAACAGGCGAAATGGACGGATTGATTGTAACGGACACAGTGAACAGTCATAGCGGGCAGTAGCTTACGTCTTTGGAATCGTTGTTTGTTCAATTCTTCACTCCACGCCAGCAAATCCCAGCACGGCGTACAGAACACCGAAGCCCGCGCAGTACCGGCAGATCGCAGTCGTGTCGATGACTATGCGGCTACCCTGGTGTTTTTGTTGCTTTCATTCGTCTGAAGTGTCTGACACTCGTTCTTATACACATAAAACAAGGCAAGGTATATTATGTCACGTATTAAAGACTTTCAGCAATAAAAACAGCGTATATAATTAATTAACCTTACTATTAAGATAGATAACAATTCATCAAATTTGGTTTCGGCTTGATTTAACTGGAATCTAAAAATGATGGCGTAGCAACTTAGTTTCGTTGAAACGGTTCGTATTAAAAGGTACTACTCCCTCAACCTTGAATGCAGTACAAGTGTTTCCAGGGGCGGATTTATGGTTCAGGTTTTGAGGGTTTGGGATGGGGGGGGGGGGGGGGGGGGGGGGGGATACAAAGAGATGTGAAGCCACGTGCGAATGGTACTTTGTTCCCCCGAAATGTAGTGGGCTATTTGATACAAAAACTCTACTGTACGATATAAGAATGCAAAATCCATGAAATTCAAAAGAAAAAAATAGCATCGAACTTTCAGCTTAGAATTGTCCTCTATCATAAATATCTTCAATAGCCACCCAGTGTTTCTTTCACCACCGGGACCTGACGGGCTAGATCAGTCATAATATGTGACATGTAAAGTCGGCTCTCAATCCTAAAGGGCGTTTTGTACGGATAGGGCGGACTTCTTGTCATATGGAGAACTCCAGTGTGTTTGCAAAAGTTGAGTAGCTTTTTACCAATGCAAGCTCAAACTAAAAAAAAAAAAAAAAAAATGCTCCAAAGTTGTAGGGGGGGGGGGGGGCAACCGCCCCCCCCCTTGCCCCCCCTTCCGGACGCCCATGCCTGTAGCTGTAAAATATTGATTCGTTAGCAGAATATGTATTTTTTTTTTTAACGTGGCGGATTGATTGATCAATTCGTCCGATCACTGATAACAATGCGGAAAAAAGAATTTCCGTGCATGTAAAGTAGAGCTCAATTAACAACTTTTTTTTAAATGTAATTCCCGCCATACTATAACAAAAACAGAAATAATACTTAAAAAAACAAGCGAGCTGGTGATGATTCATGGTAATAAAACCCGAGACTCAGGAACACAGAAGGGGACGAACACAACACGACGTCTCAATGCGTTGAGACGTCGTGTTGTGTTCGTCCCCTTCTGTGTTCCTGAGTCTCGGGTTTTATTACCATGAACAAAAACAGCTTCGTTTTTTAGGTAGCAGAAGAGCTTTAATTTTCGTCTCGCGTTCTGACTTGATTGCAAAGGGACTTTACTTTTCTAGTTTTTTTTTTTTTTTTGCGTTCTGATTTTGTTGTACTCGGAGGTTACGTAGCTGACGAAAGAAGTGGAAGGCAGAAAGCAAGCTCAACGCTCTGATCTGTTCAGAAGAACGCCTCCTTTTTCTCTTGTTCAGCCTTCTATAAGTATTCTTTGTGTGACTATTATTTCATTTAAATACGAAAGAAATATGCGCGTAGAAAGTATCCAATTATAGTCAAACAATGAAACACATATTTTCGGGATTATTTTTTTGTGGGAATGGTTTCATGTACATTATTTTAATAAAACGTGTCTCATTTAAATCGAGATTTATATCATATTGATTTTTATTCTACACCCTCCCCGTGCCACGTCAAAAGGGCGGCGCACACATCCATCCTAGCGCTGAGAGAGCACTAAGTCAAAACGTCATCATCGATACTTTTAGTGCTGACTCATCACTGAGTCTGCGCTGGAGTTTTTTTTTTTTTTAAATCCGGGCCTTATGCAGTGGTGCGCGATGCAGCTGCTGATGTAGCGGTGTCAGTGTGTGTCGATAGTGCTGACTTGAACAGGCCTGGAAGTCCGGTTTACACATGAGGAACAGCGGTAAGCCAGCACTAAGAACAGCGCTGATACAGCCCTGACTTGAACGTAACTTACTGATGATCCAGCGCTGTATGACTAATATTGTGCATCAGCTCGATCATCGCTATCCCAGCGCTCTTCCTGAGCTGCATCAGCAGCATCAGCAGGCTCAGTGATAGCGCTGAGGTAGCGCTTTAATGCAAGTGTGCAGATGCGACGTATCACAGCCGATGCTTTGAGCTATCCAAGCCGGAAATATTGCGCAGTGGGAGTGTGACGCGACATTGAGCTTTTTATTTGTCTGCGCCTAAGTGCAAGGGCACGTGACACTTTCTGTGCACCGGACTGGCTCCGATGGTTTGCAGCGTCTGCTGTGGTGCATCAAAGGGTGAGACGGAGTTTTAAGTCCTTTAAATACAAGGCTTGCAAGGCCTTGTATTTAACGTCAAGTGCCTTGTGTTATAAGGCACTTGACGTCGGTGCCTTGTAATACAAGGCACTGACGTGACACAATTTTCCATTGTGGTTTCCTTGCTGCTGAGTGCAGACCTTTTGTAGCTTATATTTTTCACCACTGAATTTATATTTCTCAGCAAGAGTAAGAGGAATGGCCACTAGCCTGGCCCGATGACGTTACGTAAAAAGAGATCTATTATTATAATGCAATTAAATGCAAAGGGGCAAGCGAGCTGGACAATAATGATGGAAATAATCCCTGGAGAAGGGGAACAAGAGGGACAAGGGACAAACATAAATCTCCAAACACAGCTAGGTGACTGGTGAGCGACCGAAAAAATCCGCCTGGTCCGGCGGATTATATAACTATAACATTAAATTGCAAGGTTTCACCCTTGTTGGTGTTAGGCTGGTGGCAGCTGATAAAACCCGTTTGCTCTACCGACGTCTAACCCCTGGTTAGTTCAGTTGGTAGAGCGCTCCACTTGTAATGGAGAGGTCCCGGGTTCGATACCCAGACCAGGCGGATTTTTTCGGTCGCTCACCAGTCACCTAGCTGTGTTTGGAGATTTATGTTTGTCCCTTGTCCCTCTTGTTCCCCTTCGCCAGGGATTGTTTCCATCAAGACATCTATATCAGACGGTTGCTAGAGCTGGAATTACCGTACAGTGGCATGCGGACGTGCGGCAATCAATTCGTCAAGTCCATAAATAATATATTTGTAATTTCCAAGTAATTGATTGAGGTTATAAAGGCGCATCATTTCAGGTGCTGACTTTTTCGCCAGATTCTCATGTTTTCAAAACATAAAAAAAACCAAAGAACATTTGAGTGTTTAAATGGGTCACGCGGGTCGAAAACTGATCATGAATGGAGTTTCCGGTGGTGACTTAATATTGACCGCTATAGACGACTGAACGCGTTGATAGAAGAGAGCAGAGCAATTTGTTTTTGCTTCGGTGCAATAACTTTAACACGAAACAATACTGAAAATACGTGTTGGTCTTCCTTCTCTGCTCCATAGCCATGCTGATTTTTACCGAGCACAGTCGGAGTGACGTAGCGATTTTATGAGATTCCTGAGCTATACTTGGGTGGTTTGCGCACCATGAACACACTTCGGCAAACGGTGGGGAGCTTGGCCGACACCACCTAGACAAAATACCTCCCCACACGTCATCAGAGTAAGATCGATCGAAGCGTGAGATTGGGCACGAGTGCTGTGTCAGTGTTCGGCTGGGGCTCGTGTCCAATCACGGCGTCGGAAACCATGCCTCGGGCCCAATAGCCGAGTTTGCGCGATCCGACTCTGATGACGTTTCATTGAGGGAGAGGAGACCAGGCGGAGGCCTTCTCTCTTGGTGCTATTGGCTTGGCAAAGGTGGGAATAAAAGTATTCGTTTGCTCTTATTCTTAAAAATTAATGGCGAAAATAACGTTTATGGCAGCGTATTTCCGTGCTCTAGGTTTCGTTTTCCCACTAAGCGATATGCAGCTGTTTAAACACTCGTGTTTTATATAGTATCATAGTCTTTTTAATTCATCTAAATCATATCCTTGAGAAGGTGCGATACACTATACACTATTTTGATAATCTAATCTTGATTTTGCTTTAATGAAGCGTACACAATGCCTCCGGAAATGAGCATTCAAAAACTTTGGATAGCGGTTTGTGCCGTCAAGTTTTCACAAGTCTTATCACGTGATTCCGTCTTTAGTACGGGGTCGCTCGCAGCTTTCTTATAGTGACAGGAACTAAGATTGTCACCTGATTGAACACCAGTGATGTAACGATGTCACGGACCCTAGTTGTCGGAAAAATGATGATGTAATTAGAGAGATGAAAAGCTGGCAGGATTGATGTGGCAATGATATGTTCACTTTTTCTGTTAGGAACTTCGGAGACGCCGTTATCATTGAAGGAACTTGCTTGTGTAGAAACCCGCGCGTGCATATCTGAGGCTTAAGTAAACTCATAAATGCATTCTCCATCTAGAGAATAATGCCGGACCTTATGCAGTTTAACTGCAAGAGGTGAACTGCCGATACTCACCTGCATGCCAGTTAGGAGCGGTCAAACAAAACACGACGGTTGTCGAGGCAGGTTGGAAAAAATGTTTTACAAAATAATTTTTTAGCAGTTTTTTAGTGGCGTTCAAGCAGGATAATTACCAGAAGCCATCGACACCTTAGGCAGGGAGGAATTTCCAGAAGCCATTAAAACCTTAAGCAGGGGTGATTTACCAGGAGCCATCAAAAACTTAAGCGGAGGAGGTATACAAGGAGCCATCAGCTTTTTCAGCGAGGGAAATAAATCGGAGCCGTCAAAATCTTTAGCAAGATATATTTACCATAATCCATGCATGAGCATCGTAAGCAGGAGAAACGTTCCAAGAGTTATCATTACCTAAAGGATTGAAGACTTGCCAGCTAGGAGCTACGGCTGCCACTCTGAGGCTTCCAAGTGACCCATTATCAAGGAGTACTTTGGGTTACGTCTTGACGCTCTAGCTTATAATCACTGAAAACTGGATGGGCCTACGGTTCATTCGACCGTCTACCTAGAACAAAAAATGGTAATAAAAATACCATTCCACTGTTTATCAGAGGAGCAGCCTAGCGTGCTACGAAGACAGTTAAACTACGTGAGCTTCCTACTTCGGCCATTTAAACCTGCACAATACCGTACCCGTGCATCGCTTTGTAATTTGATTGGTATTGACGTTGTTATCGGTCATCACTCAAGGTGCTGAAAGAAGGCGGCAGAACGGCGGAGGGTGACACCATCATTCTCATGACCGACGGGGAGGAAAACAGGGATCCAAGAATAGCAGCCGTGCTGCCGGAGCTTTTGGCCGAGAAAGTTGTGGTGAACACCCTGGCTTTGGGTACGAGCGCAGAAAAGGATCTCGAAAACCTCGCCCTGATGACGGGGGGAAAGGCGTTCTCACTGAGCGACAGCCAGGCAAACATCGAGGTCGCTATGGAGTCGGCCTTCGTAGAGTCGACCACCACCCAGCTGGACGAAGCTGACCGTCCGATCACGGTCAGTAACTGCTGCGTCCTGTACTCCTGCAACACGTTTAAGATCGGGTCATCGGCATTGAAGTATCAGTTAAGCCGCGGTCTAACTGCTTACACATCACACAAAAGAGAGACTGCAGACACCGTCTGAGACGTGTCTTAGACTTAGGCTAGGTGGCGCTAGCTACCGTTCGTTACAAAGGGTGTAGCCATTAACATCCATCCATCCATCCATCCATCCTTTCTAGCATGACGGCCCTTCCGCATTGATCATACGAGAACTGTCTAGAAACATTTACGAAGCATGCGTATGCCTAAAGGAAACATGCTTCGAACACTGCTTGAGGCATGTCTGCAGATACGTCTGTCATCGTATGTCTGCATCGAACACTGATGTGTCTTTTGCATGATGTACAAGCTGTGTGGCTGCGGTTTAAGAGGTGTGCGGTTAGTAGCTGAAATCGAATAGCTTTTGCGGCATTCATGGCTCTCACACAGAAGGGAAAGGTACAGGAATTTATAGGCATCCAGGAATAACCAGGTGACGTCGCCATTTGTTTGTACGAGAGTGCCACCTTCCGCCACGTTATTGCACTCTCGGGCGGTCATCTACCCACCACCTCACTGCCCCACCAGTTTCAAAAGAGCATCGGGCCAGACCGTTGTTCGATGATGGACGGCTTGAGCCGTCTCCCTACATTTGTGCGCACTATTGGATTGGTTGCAAGATTGCCGCGACAGGATGCAGGTCGAGTCTTGGATCTTTTGGGCTGAAGGTCCGCACTGTGATGAAGCTAGCGATGACACTGCGCTATTTTATTTGAGCCACTATTCACACGCCGACGGTATTACTGAGCGCTCTTGATGCCTCTTATGTACTAACGTTTAAACCAAGGATGACGAAGCAGAATGGTGGGACATAAATTAGGTTTACACGACCTTTAAATGAAATGTGCGAAAAAAAAGGGTTTAATTTCGCGTAGTTAAAAAACTAAACTACACGGTAGAGTTACACTAAACGAGGCTTACTTTATTTTATTGACATGCCGCCAGTATTTATCCCGTTTTTTTTTTTTAGATATCACGTAAACGTCGTGTAAACCTAATATTTTTCCAAACATTTTGCTTCGTCTTTTTTGGTTCACAAGTGAGTATTAAAGTGGGATCAAGATAGATCAACGACACCATGGGTGTGCGAATAGTGGCTCAAAGAAAATAGCGCAGTGTCGTCTAAAACTTAATCGCTGTGTGGGCTTTCAGCACCAAAGTCCAACACTCGAGCTGCACCACGTCGCGGCAATTAAGCCACCGACCCAATAATACGCACAAACGTAGAGAGATGACTCAAGCCGCCCATCATCGAACAAAGGTGTGGTCTCAGGCTTTTATCAGACTGGTGGTGTCGTGATGAGGTGGGTTGGTGACCGCTCAAGTGTACAATAGCGTGGTAAACGATGGCTCTCTCGTATGAACACATGGCGATGCCACCTGGTTATTCCTGGACGCCCATACATTTCAGGCGTGTTCTTTATTTTGCTTCTGACTTTAGTTATTGACACACTGTCAGTAATACTTCGGATGTACACCTCTTTGCGGTGCAACCAGGCAACCAATCGCTACAACATAATAAAAAAACTCGGCAAAAAAAAAAAAAAAAACAGAAAAACTAATAGAAATGATAAGATGTCGGTTCTTCCACCAAATAAAACGTCCAATGTGCTCAGAGAATATTTAGGTTTCCAGCGTATTCTTCATTTGGCTTCTCAGAATATTCATCCCGCATTAATGGCTAACCAAACTCCCAATGAATGGTACCACGATTGTTCTTTCAGGTGCTCACAAGATACATTGCTCACAGATAAGTTTTGACGTGTATTAAGCACACTGAATGGTCGACCTAAAAATAAAAACGTGTGGAGCATATGCAACTGCAATGCGGTTTTGATGGAGCGTTTTGAGTTTGCTCATGCGCGATGTTTACTTTCATTTTGCACAGATTCTGGATGAGTCCATTAAACTGAATAAAAGTAAAACAATTCCAATCATGATTGACCCGGAGCTCGGTAAAGACACGAAGGTCGTCATTGTGTCGGGCAGCCAAACTAACCTGGAGGTTCACGTTTTGGACCCCATGGGAAACACATGCAAGGCCTGCTCCTTCCATATTTCGAACTCGGGTTCAAAATGGCGAACCGTCAAGATTCCTTCGCCAGCAATGGTATGAAATTCAGGTTTTATTCTTCGGTGTTTTGATTGTGTTAGACGAAATGTGTTATCATATCAGAAAACTGTGTTATCTCTTTGCACAGAAGTGTTTTGCAATAAAAAGTATGGTGAGATGACGGCACATTTCCAGCGCCCGTACTTTGCTTCAGGGCAGTGAGCACATTGTGCCGGGGGTTCTTTAAATTAATCTGGCTAAATGACAGATATAATACAAATATTAGTGTTGCAACATTCTTAATATTCAGTGTTACTATTTCGTTCAGAAATGTTCTACTCATTAATTGGGACTGGTTGAATCACCACAATGCCACATTGGAGGTTACATAGTGTCTCGGCGCAAACTTCGCTGACTTTAGATCTCCCATAACCCGAAACACGTGCTTACTCTCTCTCTCTCTCTCTCTCTCTCTAAAAAAAAATTAAAAAAATAAATAAAAAGAACGAGTATTGAAAACCATTTCAATTTAACGCTGTTTACTTTGCTAACGAAGTTACAGCCAGTGTCAGTAGATGTTTTATTTGTTATTGACAACCCTAGCTCTGAAGCAACTAAACATTTTCAATTGGATGTTTGCGGTACGTTTTTTCATAGTTCAATATGTTCTATTCAAACGCTTACCTGTCGTTTTACGACAATATTGAAAGCGTTGATATCTCCAAGGTGTGACCATCTGTTATATCCTTATAGAACCATTGTGATGAATGCAAGACTACAGTACATTAGTCAGAGGTTCCTCCATTCCGTGTCCAGTATTGCTCAACTCACCAGTCACGAATTTACAAGCAGTCCTGACAGGCAAACTTTTATTTTATTTAGAAAAAAAAAAAAAAAAAAAATGTCGCGATGCGTCCGGTACATGAAGTTACCCTTTTTAATCTTGGCGGTACGTCTAGTTTTAGGACTATCATGATGGTAAAGCGTGACCCGCATGGAGCTGTTTCTTGCTCGCGAAATCGCAACGCGCGACGGCCGTACGCGTCGATGCCAACGTAGGTAAACCCGTATGCAGCAACGGACAGCTGCTTCCACCGGTGTACTCTCAACGCCTCTAGGCTACATAAACTGCGCCACGTGCAGATAGAATAAACGCATATGTACTAAATAAATTTTTAAGCTAAGAAAGAAAGGCTTCAAATGGACTCGTGTTTTATTTTCAGGTTTGAAATACATAGTGTGTCAGTCACGCACTCCGCGCACGCCGCAGAAAACGGATTCGTTCAGATCACGTGACTGTTCACCCGGCTCTCCTTGGTGAGAGCAGACGCGTGCTTTCAGCATAACAGCGGCGCGTGTCTTATTTGTTTTTTTGGTTTAGAACGCAAAAGGCGCGTTGGCCATTACGAAAGCTTACGCACCCGAAATGACGCCGCGCCGACGTCGACGCGGGCGAATCGCGAGTAAGAACGTTCCACGCGGTTCATGAGGTGACGAAAACGCGTACACACGCAGTGGGAGTGACAGCAAAAGAAAGTAAAAACGTTGCCCATAGTTTAAAGATCGCATGTTGTCTCCTTTCTTTTCCGTAGCCCGGTACCTGGAATCTTGCTCTGGCGACGAAAGCCGACACGGATGTAGTAAACGTTCGCGTAACTTCGATGGCTGTGGCAGCCGATGACCATCCCATTCGGCTGCGTACCTTTCTCAAGAAACTCGACGTCAACCAGGCGCTGGACGCCTGTATCTTTTCGGAAGTGTCCAAGGGTCCCCATGCAGTTCTGCGTGCAAAGGTCCTGGCCAAGGTCCTGACACCCCAGAAGAACGTTGGGCAGCTGATTGTGGAGCTTTTCGACGATGGAGTCGGTGCGTTTCATTAGCCTGTACCACGTAGACAAAGGGCAGGGCTATCTCCACTACAAAAGGTGCCTAAAATGCGTAGAGCTATAAACACCGCCAGTTCAAAGCCGCATTCACACAACTCAGAACCTTACAAAAGGCACTTCGTTCGCTTCAAGCATGGTGACGGATTTATCTGCGGACAGATCTCAGGCACGTCGGAACCATGTTCGCCTCACACATATGTTCAAACCTGTCTTCAAACAGTGTTTACACGATCAATGTTTTAGGAAGGAACACGCTCCAGAGGATGTCTACAGACCGACTCTTGTATCATGTATTAGCAGTACTGTGACCACGGTTGAAGGGGCGGGTGGTGTGGAGGGGTGTAGCCCGAAACAACCCATTCCCGTTTGAACCCGTCCCGTTTTGACCCATTCCCGAAACGACCTTCCCGTTTGAACCCGTCCCGTTTCGACCCATTCCCGAAACGACCCTACCGTTTGAACCTGTTCCGTTTCAACCCGTTCCCGAAACGCCCTTCATATTTGAACCCGTAGCCAATAGATATTTTACATTTGAATTTGTCTCGTTTGAACCCGTTGGTATAAAGCCCCGCACATCTCAACCTTTTCGCGAAAAGTGTCCATCGTTCTAATCCTGGTTTGCGCAGTTTTTATGCATAAGAATATGTCCCGAAATCATGTTAATGGCATTAATGCAAAGGTGCAGGTAAGCAATTCCGTCATGTTGTGAAATATTTTTGCTTGTAAACGTATTCTTAAAATATGCAATACTTTCAGACAAGCTTCAACGAAATGTATTTCTACTTGAACCACTTAAACTGTTTCTTTCAAGATGGTCCCCAAAATATGTAACTACGAAATGGACTGTGTACATTGCGCGACAACGTTACCACGAACACGATGTTGGCGATTTTTCGAATTTTACTTCGAAATGGTATTAGAAGGTACCACATTTTACCGCTTAGTGGCCCAGAGGAGCACTTTTAAACTCACTAATAATATTGATGGCAGTCTTCTGATTTTTTTAGACAAGTAGCTGAAACCAACAGTCGCTTGTTCGCGCTAACGGTTTCGCCAGGGAGCTTTCGTAGATCGTTTTCGACGTCACGCGACGCTTTCGGCAACCCGCTACGATACCCAGAACTCTACAGTCAAGGGCATCGGCGCGCAGGCGCAGTAGCGGCTTCTTCGTTGCGGAGGGCTTAGCGAAATGGGGAAACGTGGTCTACGAAAACTCCCTAATAAAATCTTAGAGTAACGCAGGCCAGAGTTTTGAGTAAGCGAAAATTAGCGTTGCCTAAGTTTTCATACCGCGACGCCATTTTTAGGTTACCCGAAGCGCTTGCGTACGTTTTTCTAAAACTTCCTTATAGTGAACGGGATATTTTTAAAAGTGATAAATCAGACAGGCTGACGGGCATATGATTGCGACTTCATTTCCTGACAAGGTCAAACACAGAACCGTCGCGTACACGGGCAAAAATCATAAACCACAAAATGCTATCGCCCTGGTTGAGGATGTCGAGCAGGAAAATCGCGCCACCATTCGGCGGTCACCTGGCCCGCACGGCACCACCATTTGCAAGCTGCTGCAGCGATATCCCTATCAAGGCCTCATCCCGTTTGCAGGTCGATGAAGCTGTAAATGTTCGGGCGAGCTCTCCCTGACAGAGTTTATTTTACGAGGTTGTTTCGGAAGAGGGAGAAGTGATGTGAGCAAGGAGAACAGACACTGGACACTTGAACCTAATCAACTGTTAACGAATAATACAAACTAACCGAACGATGGCCGAAGCGGGAATGTTGTTTCAGGAAAGGGCGAAATAGGAAAGGATGAAACGAGAAGGTCGTTTTGATCCGGGTCGAAACGGGAAGGTACAAACGGGAAGGTTGAATCGGGAATGGGTCGAAACGGGAAGGTACAAACGGGAAGGTTGCATCGGGAATGGGTCGAAACGGGAAGGTAGAAACGGGAAGGTTGAATCGGGAATGGGTCGAAACGGGAACTACCCGTGTGGGGGGGCCCAAGTCACGTGTTGTGGCACGGCACCCAATGGGATAGTTGCATTAGCCAATAAGAGCACCGCTAAGAGCACCGAAGAACGAATCACGTAGCAAGAAGCGTGAGGGTGATAAACAAAGCCTTGCGTTTTTTAATCTGTCAGTGACTGAAGCTGGGCTTCTTTCTTTCTTAGGAGTGACCGGTGTGGGTGACTTTTGAGATAATCACGATGGACGTCTTGTCCAGTTTATGTACGGAGGTGAACGAAGCCATGTCAACCGGATTCGCTCGCGCACATACAGGAGCCTTCGGGAAAATAAATGAAACAAGAATGAATAAAACAATAAAAAAAACACTTGGAAGCAAGGACAGACAGCACAGTTCTCTCAGGACTGTTCTGTCTCTCCTTGTCTGTCCTTGTTTCTCCCTGTCTGTTCTTGTTCGTCCTTGTCTGTACTTGTCTCTAAGTGTTTTTATTTTTTCAATTATCTTTGTACTCTCGCTCTTTGTTCTTTGGGGGAAGAAAAAAAAGGGTCCTGCGACGGCTTATGGCTTTCGCCTTGAGTTCTCTATATCCTATTGTTTATTTCATTATATTATCGGCTGTGTTCACTTATTACCAGGTGCGGACGTCACGGCCAACGACGGCATCTACAGCGGATACTTCACGCAGTTCAAGGGCAACGGAAGATACTCTGTGGTGGCCGAAGTTGTGGGCGATGGCTCGGCAATTATTGTGAGAGGACGACGGGGTTCCGGAGGTCTTCCCGTTGTAGCGTCTCCACCTGGTACGTGGCCGGCGATAACGCATTCCCGGAGGTAGACGCAATGGATATCGACTAATAATTTTGTTTTGTGTTTGTTTAAAAAGCGGGAAATTAGCTCCAGTTGGCGTATTTCTTAGCTGTAGATGAGGAATTCATCCGGTGCAGTACCACCACTACCCTAGGGTTTCGAACGTGCATCGAGCTGTAGTGATTAGACGACCGCACGTCGGTACAGTGCTCACCCAGATCGGAACGTGCGAGGGTGAGGAAGGAACCCAGGGTTCCTGGGTTCTGCAGCTTGAGCTTTCGATGCATATACTGCGAGCTGCGGTGAGTTAACACACTCGGCCACTGGACATCACAAGCAAAGATTTCATAAGATGAGAAGCAAAAAACAGGTTTGATGTGCCAGGATTATGACAGATAATGGAAACGATGAATCAGCATTTTTTCAGAACTTTTTGTTAGATAGACATTTCTCAGATAGACCGCTATAGACGAAGTCTTCTACTTCCTTTTTGTATATCGGTCTTGCCTGATGCATGTGACGACAGTTTTTGCTGTGTGCCCTTTTCTGCTATTGGGCTTTTTTGAGTACGTTAGGTTTGCGCCGTCAGAACAACTGTTAGTAAACACTCTCAAGAAATAATTCCACGGCGTAGTGTTGGTAATCGTATGAGGTTTCAGTGTGTTTAATCTATTGGTGAACACATGCATGTTTGTCAAACTTTGCATTGCAAGCTGCCACCAGAAAGACTTTCGACACCTTTGCTGGTTACCGTATGTATTCGGGCCCAATTTTCCAGAAATAATTTTATCTTGCAGAAGTATCTACAAATGTGGAAGCTACCGAGAAAACGGCTTCTGCCTCTCCGGAGTTTGAAGCCGAAGGACTTCCGTTTGAACAGTTTGTTTACGTGGATGAAGACATCGAAGTTGCCGAACCTCTAGAGGTTGTTGGCGAAAAAGCTCCAAGCTTCAGAAGATTTTCAGATGGGGGCTCCTTCCAAGTTGACGGCGCGATCGATGTGTCTAAGATTCCACCGGCCTCGATCCAGGACCTTCGAGTCGCTGATGTTATTACTGAGAACGGATCTCTTTGCGTTGTCCTGTCCTGGACTTGTCCGGGAGAGCACTTGGACTATGGCCAAGGTAAGAAGTCACCTTTTGCATTGCCTCGCGTTGCATTCAGTATAGTCGTTTTAACTCTGTTTGAACTTGGGCATTTGAACATAGTTTTTCACATTTTCTTTGATGTGAATATTCAAGAGAAAGCATAAAGCTCGCACTGATAAACATTGAATCGGCTTAACATTAGACAAATTTTGGTGTTAGTGCACTGTGGCAATGTGTTTTAAACTATGGCTATGAGGTAATTATAAACCAACACATACGAGGGGTAATCAAGAAGTTCCGAAACTGATTTTGTAGCGTAGAAAGTGAGGGAAGCACAGTGATTCGCGCGCAGCAGTCAAAGTAAAGAACCTTCGTGTCTCATTATACCAAAGGGCGTCGCTCTGTGAACATTTGGAGCTGCGCTACACTGGTTTGTTTGACCACATGCACGAGCATGATGGCGATCTTTCCATACACTGCAAACCAAAGCGAGAACGAACATCAATTTTACGTCAAGCTCAGCAAACATAAAACAGAGACCTCTAAAATGATTTAGAAGGCTTATGTAAAAAAAAAGGAAGGTGTGCGAGCTGTTTTGAGTGGCACTCGCGCTTCAAGAATGGCACAACGTGACCGAAGTCAAGGAAAGGTCGGATAAAGTCGCCCCACCGCTCTTCGTCTTCCAGCGATGTTCTGCCGTTCCTAAAGCGCGAGTGCCACTTAAAAACACTTCGAAAAATTCACTGCTTTTTTACACAAGTCTGCTGAATCATAGCGAAAATCTCTGCTTTATATTTGTCAAGTTTGACGCAAAATGGATGCTCGCTCTCGCTGTAGTTTGTAGTCTATAGAGACATCGCTATTGTGCCCATGCACGTGGTCACAAAAACTCGTGAAACGCAGCTCCAAAGTTCACAGAGCGGCGCCCTTTGGTATAATGAGACATGGAGGTCCCTTCCTTCGACTGCTGAGCGCGTATCACTGTGCTGCCCTCTCTTTTTACGCTACAAAATCAGAGCCGGAACTTTCTGATCACACCTCGTATGCTGCCAGTCAGAAAAAAAGAATTGTGTTTGTCGTAAAATAAAAGCACCTCATTCGTCGCCGAAAGCTCAGACTATGTGAAAAATTAGTGGTGCCACTTGGTACAGTTGCCAAGTAACGTAACTGCAATAAGAAAAAAAAAAGTTTTTCTGAGGAAAAAAAACAAAAAAACTCTGCTCGATAGAATATAATTTTTGCTGCATCTCGTAAATAGAGTCACAGGCAGCTTTGAATTAAGACCCATGTACGCTGAAAAGCGGGTAAAAATTAAATGTTTGGCGTCTTCGAACGAACATGGCGGCATGGAGACGTACGAGCGTCAAGAGACCGGGAGAGGGGACAACTGTGTGAAGAGGGAGATTTGAACTGCTTTCCCGCATACAGGGACTTTACGTCAAGCTGCAACGTCGGGCCAACTAGTTTGTAACTCTGGGTTACTGAAAAATACGCGCGAGTGATTTGTCGGGCAGGAGCGTACATTCAATAGTGGAATATATGAACAGAAAGTGCACATGACAGCATCTTCGCCGCATTAAGACTGACAAGTCTCTGACGAAGTTTTCAGTCTTCTTAGGACATGTGTCCTCGTCTTGCTGGCGGCTGCGAATAAAATAACATCATAATTACACGTATTTCTAACTACTGGAAAAAATGTGCGGCTGGTGGTGCCGTTGCCGCTATTATGGCCACACCATTTCTTGTCCCACTACAGCGACAAACAGAAAGAATCAACATCGACAAGCCTCACACACGTTCAGAATGCACGCGAAGGTATCTTTGGTAGGCTTGCGGTCCCTCGTGCTTACTTCACGAGCACCAATAAACTGCAAGCCTGCCAAAGGTAAGCACTTCTGCGTACACGCTGCACGTGTTTGAGACCAGTAGGTGTCCACTGTTTCTGTTTGTCGCTCTAGTGGGACTCAGGTATTAGAGTTGCTAAATAAGCAGTGCCTTAAAGTAACACCACGTCATCCATTTTGTTGTTTAACATTACGAATAACGGTTATGTAAAGCTTCATCTGAAATTGCAGGGAACGCTTTTCCATTCGACGAGAAATGCTCAAAAAAAGTCTGCGACAGAGCAACATACCTTCTTCTGAGTTTGCCGACACTATGTCTAGGGCTCAGGTAGTCGATAGCCTAAATGTAGCTCGATTGGTGGCTGTAGCCACAACCTTGCGTCTACCTTAAACTAAGTGAACCGGCAAAGCTAGGCATATTAACGCGACGCCGCGTGTGAAGGCCAGAACAAATTGCGAAAAGAAAGGCTATATTTTGGATCTAATATTGTCTCGTGAATTCAGATAATATGCGCATACAGATGAGCTAGAAAAACGCCAGATCCGTGCCGCAAGGTTTGTATTGGGAATCTATATCGAGAACATGCCAACGTAACTTACTAACTTGGGTAGTAATTTAATTACTGTAATTTAATTACTTTTCTTAGTAATTTGTAATTGTAATTAATTATTTTCGCCCAGAAGGAATTGTACTTGTAATTTAATTACTTTCTAGCGTCAGTGATTGCAAAAATTCAGGCACAATTACTTTTGCAAAACTGCGGCGCCAACGGAACCTCTCCGAAAGCCTCAGCGTTCGCGCAAGCGGCCTAGCTCTCGGTGAAACACTCGCGCGAAGACACACACTCACACACACTCACAACATAAATAGCCTCAGATTGTTTGTTGTTTTGTTGGTTATACTGCGGGATGAGAAAATCCTCTTTGGAGCCTACCTCAACGGCGCCTTGCTGCGTCATCGGCAGTGCGAGCAGAAAACAATAGCGTAAACATGCCAAAATACTGAAAGTACCGAAAAAAAAATAAGCTTCAGCTTTTAGTTGAGCTAGGTACTTTAATTGTCAATAAAGTTTTTTTTTTTTGCCAGTTTTTGACATCCCTCTTTCAGTACGTCGCATGTTTGTATCTGTAGCATTTTCAAGTTTATTTCCTGTTGGTTTTACTTTGTATATTTTTTGCATAAGCATCTTGGAGACTGACCTCGCACCTGTGAATATTGTTACTAATGATTCGGGAGCCCCTATTCGGTTTTGATATATTTCTGAGCCATTATAATTTCAACTCAATGCAAATAATTTACTATACCATGATGTTTTTATGTGAATGCGGTCGTATTAGCGCGTGTGGATTTTAGTTCTATATTAACACTTGTATATTATTCATGTATGACTAATTGTCGCATTTTTATTTTCCCGGGCTAACAAAACTCTATAAACCCATTTTTTCTTTAGCGATCTGGCATCTATCAACACATGAACTAATTCATTATTATTTATAAAAAAATATAAGAACCGAGTACTTCATTGCCTCAGACTGTCAAGTTCCATCATTAATCTAACAAAATTTATAAAAGGAAAGCACAACACGTGGCATTTACGCAGCGATGATTAAGCCTCCTCAAACATTGGGGCAAGAAATGAACAAATACTATGCGTTCTTTACCTCCGGTTTAAAGTTATATGGCCCCAGTCGGGTGTCTCTAAGAAATACGTAATTGTAAAGTAATTGCATTACTTTTTATAAGTAATTGGTAATCGCAATTAATTACTTTTACGTAGTAGTAATTGTTATTGTAGTTAAACTACTTTTGAAGCGAATTAATTATTATTGTAATTAAATTACATTTTGAAAGTAATTTACCCTTGTATGATTAAGCACTTAATCTGATGGGATCTTCTAACTTTAAGGTGATAACACTTGTGCTTGAAGTTTTTGCAAGCCATCTTTAATAACCTGCCAGCAATTAACAATAATTGCTATTTAGAAGTAACAATTTGTTTCAAGTCAAGTAGATCATTCAATGGATATTAAAATAAAAAAAAAATATTCTGTCGAGCCAGCTACAATAAATATAATGTTGTTCCTCGCACAAGATCCGAGTGGATAGCATTGCCTGAGTCTGCGATTAGAGGAATTTACACGAAAGCGCCCTTTCAGAATGTTTTAGCTTGATTTGTTTTAGTTAACATGCTTTACTGATTCGTCAGCTGTTCATGCTCCACAGATCCGTTTTTCTAACGCAATGCCAGGCTGTACGTGCTCTAATGCTTCAATGGTGCAAATTGGTTTTGTAAAAAAAATAAAAATATTTTTGCAGCTTCTCAAGTAGAGATCAGAGTGAGCACCAACATGGCGAGCTTTTTGAAGCGTTTTGAGGATGGTGTTCAGATTTCCGAGAATGACGTCATGGAAGGCCAGTTATCACCGCTTCCGGCACGAACCAAGCAGAACGTCACCGTCAAGATTCCGGAAGATGTGGTGTCCGAGGCGAAGATCGAAAACCGCACAGATTTCTACTTTTCTGCTCGTGTGCTGAACAAGGATGGCCTCGATTCGGGAGCTTCCAACATCGCCCTGGCTACATTTGAGCATCCCTCTCCTGGGCAGCAGCAGAAGCCGCTGGATTCGAAGAACTGGGGTCTCTTAATCGGAGTACCAGTAGCTATCGTTCTTCTCGTGATTGTAATTCTGACGGTTGTGTTCGGGCGACGCAGAACGTCGACGCAACAGATCCAACCAGAACCTAAGCTTCATCGGATCCACTATGCCTCCTAGGTGCAAATGTTTTCTTTGTCGACGAAAAGAAGTAAAACCATTTTAAAAGAAACATCATGGCCTTCTTGTGGCCACCGCACTTAGATCTGCTGCCAGAAGTCAAGTCAAATGTTCTATTACCTTCGTTCCCAAAGATGACAAGGGCAGCTTATACTTGTTGTTATTCAGGACGCGTGGAAATGTTCCCAAGATGCATATGTGCAGTGTCTATGATGAAAATAATCTGGATTGTTTACTAAGGTAGCGCTAGCACCAAAGACTGTGAAACATGGGTTGAGCTTCTTACTAATCATACGCGTGGTTCGTCGAGAATAATATCGTGTATAGCAGTTCTTACTCCATGTTCAATGATTCAAGCAAGCATTTCAAAAACAGATTTCTGTCAACATATTGATGACTCATCTGAAGGCGATCAAGCTTTTCCGAGTCAAACGATAACTTGCAGCCCAATGAATATGTGAAAACAATTCAGTCGTTTGGTTGTGGTTACCGAATAAAATATTTATTTTGTGTTAATTTCTTACGGTTCAATATACTTTTACATTGTTACAACTCGCCCTTAAAACTCTTATCTAATCCTGGCTATTTGGTGAAGTTGGATGGTTGTTCTTCAACATACTAAAACGCAAGTCGGGGGCAAAAGAAGGAAGACAAACACAACTCCTTCTGGGGTTTCAGTACGTCGAATAACAACCAGCTGTCCTGCCTAGTGACATTGTTTATTTTTGTTTTACTTCAAATTTGATTGTACTCGATGTGCTTCTTCATGATGGGCGTCTCACTTGGATTGTTTCAGTGAGGCGCATTATTAATTATATTTCTCTAGAATTGTTAAACGTTATGTAGAGCGTGTAGTATGTTCTTCTATGGTTTACGCTTGAACGTTGAGGGATTGTTCAATAGACTACTTCCATAAAGCCCTGCATGCAACACGGCGCGCGTTGCACTCTGGGAACTAGTTGGCCAGGGAGGAGGGTGGCATGGTTTCGGTTTCGATCGACACGTCGACAAGAGATGGTTTTCTGGTCCCGAGAGCGTCATTTGTGGTCTCTAAACTAGCCTAAATGGCCAGACCTCGAAGCTTTAGCACAAGCCCGAGACGTATAGCTTGTCTTAACACATGCTTGTTGTATTTTTGTACTTGAGCCTTCCTGTTAGCGCTCCAATCGAGGTATGTGGACGAGCCAGTGCTGGGAGTCTCGACTCTGCGAAGCTCGGGTGCTCGGGGATCTTGCTTGTGTACGAATCAACAAGCTGTAGCAAACAATAAGTATGCATATATCGAGCTCGCGCCTTTACATTAGTGTTGTTGATCAGGAAGTTTGTTGCTTCGTGCGTCCATAGACGAAATATTTCTTTTTGCTTTTAACTGTTTTTCTTAATGTGCCTGACTGTGCGAGGTAAAACTCGGAGGTGCCATTGAAAAGCTCAATTTTAACACACTTCTTATCTCTTATCTGTACTGACACGCAGCACTGCACGAAGTGAAGTCCCCACCCGCTTGCATTTCACTAATATTCAACATCGCGTATGCGCATAAAGTTATCCTGAAATCATATAGGCACATTCGCGCATACAGACCGTTTTAAGAATGCAAAAGTCGAGCACTTGTGTGAAGAATGTCGCACCGTTCGCCGGAAGTGCGTCAGACGGGCATGAACCGCTATGCGCACCGCATTGGGGTTCATGCCCGACCGGCGCACGGTGCGACATTCTTCAGACAAGTGCTCGAACGAATTCAAAGCGCATTTGACGGTTGGTAATGGCCATGATATTTGTTATGTGTTTGCTTTCTCTCTGACTGAGTATGCCGAGATAATTTTAGACACCGTTCCCGGCACAGATCTCGGGCGTCAGTAAAAGCTCGTCCAAAAAGGCTAAGCGAGGAGTAGGGGACGCTTGTTAGGGCCTCCGTCGTAGCTAACCGATCTCAGTGTTTGCGAAACGTTAACCTTCTATCAGCATTAAATTTGAGTGGGAGATATATGATGACACGAGGAAGGCATCATAGTAACTTTTGTGCAGTAGTGAGGTAGAATTTATTGCGTTTCCTTAAAAGTTCATGCGTAAACGCTGGCCTCAACTTTGATACCCTGTGAGGATGCGGCTTGCTTTTTGCCCAGTGAAGTAACAAGAAGCGGACGTTTGGCAAACAAAATGCGTGTAAGGCTCCAGACGAACAAATTTCAGTTGTAGTTCACTGGTACTAGACTGGATTACTGATATTGAGCTCAAAGATGCACTCGTGGGGTGAGGTGACTAAGCCACGACTTACTACATTCGCATACGCACGCACAATATCCGGTGTTTCGGGAACCAAGGAAAGTGCCCCGGTCTTCGTTTTGTATCGCTCGAGAAAAGAGTGTATTGTACGTTCGTGAAAAGTCAGATAATCGAAAACGCCAGCGGCGCGTTCGGTCGCGGCGTGATAGCATGAGATGAAGCTGCTCAGTCGAAACCGAAACTGAGTGGCCAACTAGTTCCCAGAGTGCACTGCGTGGTATTTCGCCGCGATGGGGCGCGTCGGTTTTGGAAGAAGTCCATTGTAGGAAGTACAATATCGATAGAGCAGCAGAGGGCGATTGCTTTACCGCCGGTTGTCCACGTTTATAGCTCTCCCGAATTCAATTTTAAACATAACCATTTTTTTATTTCCAAACCTTTTACTCGGAAATTACGTTTTAATAAATGTCGATCATAGCCTCTAGTGTTGTAAGAAATGCCCAAACTCAATAGGCCATATGCAATGTACTTGACATTATCATCATCATGCCAATTGAAACCGTCAGATTGTTTTTTTTTTTCTTCTTCATATCTTCCAGTTGTGGACGAGGCACGTCTGCCTTTGACTCGGATTTCAATGATATTAAGATAGTGTATTTGTATACTCAATGGGTTTCTGTTTAGTTTTGGTTCAAAGAAGAAACGAAAGACCGCCGCGAAATTTTAGAAAAGAAATTGTCAGCAACGAGGTCTCTAGGATCGTCACTCAAGCAGTGAACTGGACCATGCATTCCAGTGAGCGGTCTTATTCGAAGACTGTGTGAAGGGTTCGTACTGAACTGGTAGCGCGCGATAATGTCTGACACCTACGGCTCCCACTTTACTTGGCCAAACTATCGGCCGGGGACGCCCCAATATTTCAGAAATTTTATAATCGAGCATGAGTACACTAAATGGCTCTTTTCGTTTTGCGTATAGTATATTGCAAATACAAATTTATCCGTGATGTAAGTTTTTCCCAATACATTATTTGGAGCAACACACAATTTATTGCCATGTGAAGTACAATAAACTACTTAAAGGGGTACTCCACCGATTTTTTGAGCTACCTCAACTAACTATATTTTCTGACTCCCCGGCCTTTAGCCTTTCCGGTATGCTATTTAGCATCGCGAAATTCATAATAGGTATTGTGAAATCGGCAAATGAAAATGGTGCAAAAACCAACATTCAAATATTCGCGCACTTTTCAGTGCCGTGACGTCAGTGGCAGGCAGGCTTGCATGTCGAGCAAGCAGCCAAAAAATAGAATGTGCCAATCATTTGTTCCGTGCTGCTGCGCGGGTACTGCAGCGAGCTTCCCAAGCATTCATTTGACACCATGAAACTGCTTCGAATCAGTTTAAAACAAAATCTACAGCCCAAAGAGTGAACCCCTGCCTTCCACTGACGTCACTTTTTCATTGTTGCCAGTAGAGACTTTCAGTTTGAAAACATGGTGAAGACCAAACCTGTAAATTCAATAACTTCGCGAAAAAACAATATTTTGACCTAATATTTGGGATACTATTTTAGCGATGTTTGTTGGTTAGTTTAGCAAAATTTCAAGCAAATCGGAGACAATGAAAAAACCGGTGGAGTACCCCTTTAACGAATCAACTCAGCTGTTTGTTTTTAAGCGTTTAACACGCTAATTACAAACACGAAACGTGATCTGAATCAGGCGGCTGGGGATGAGATAAATATTTATTCTCTGTCTCACATTAATATTGATTTAGCAGCACTTAGAGATAATTTAAGATGGAAAGGAAGAGTCATCAATATTGGAAGAAAGAGATTGTTGAATATTATTCAGGTTGACCCCAAGACCAACTTTCCCGGACGGCGTTTTAGTTCTAGTTTTTAATGACATGTGGCGTATCGACCGTAAATTTCATTTTAAATCGCTGATTCGCCATCCATCGCAATCTCATTCTTGTCTCCCATGTCTCTTCTCGCCGTTTTACTGTTCCCTCACCTTTCCTTTCCACTCCCTCCGGCCTGCGGCGTGTTTGGCGATTGTATAAAGCGGCATTTGGGAGGGACTCGAGGAACAAACAAACAAACATCACAAAAGCCCACCCAACGCGGTTAGAAGGCGACTCCAACACTATGCGGAAAATAAAAAAAAACGAATTAAGTAAGAAAAAAAGAAAAAAAAAAATCAGGCTCATTCTAGTACGTTAGTGCAGCCTCTAATAGAACCATTAAATAAACAAGTCGCCGAGATGATTAAATCACACGATTGCATATAACGTCCTTGCATCGTAGACTTGAGGCCATTCATCCTCACTTTGGTCATAGCCTCCCCCATTGAAGGGATACTTTAACGAAATTTGAAATATACCCGTCGTGTTCAGAAATAGGCTGAATATGATCCACAGTATCCGCAAATGACAATCGCACATTTGTGTTTTGAGCCTGATGGCCGTATTTTTCGATATAAACGGCCCACTCTGTCGTGCACTCGGAGAGCAGCCAGCGGAGAGAACGTGACATCCAGTGCAATCGCGACGATAGGCTGTCTCGGGTCGGGCACAGCTGCGGCGAGGCTGTCGTCGTCAGGATTTACTAAAGGCGGGAACACATTTGCGAAAAAACGAACCGAAAATCGGAGAGAAATCGGAGGCTGCGAAAATCGTAGCTTGCGATTTTCGGAAGACGAGCCACATGAGGTGGAATGCGCGGCGCGGAAATCGCAATGCGCTGCGGTTTTCGTGCTCCGACTTTAGGAGGCT